TCGGACGCTGATTACTTGGCCGATGTTCAAGGAGGAGTTGAGGTATCAGTTTGGCAAGTCGGAAGGGTGGGCCGCGGAGCAGTTGGCGAAGCTGCGCCAGACTGGGACAGTGGCGGAGTATCGAGCTGAGTTCTTCAAACTGGGTAACCAGTGCAAGGGCGTGCCGGAGGAGACTTTGGTGGGTCTATGCATGGCGGGACTCCGCCCAGAGATCGCAGCAGCTGTTCGAGTATTTGAGCCCGATTCACTTCGAGCTGTTTTCCGTCTTGCAGGTAACAAGGAGGAGGAGCTGGCTAGCTGGAGGGGCGTGATAGGCCGCTATCAGAAACCGGCCGGAGGAGGAGGCAGTGGTATCAGCGCTAGTGGAGGAGCGAGCGCAGCTGCATCGGGTTCTGGTTCGGGAGGGGGTGCGGCGGCTGGCCCACCTTCGGCTGTCATTCGAGCGGGACCAAGGCCACCGCCCAAGGGGTTTAGGACGCTATCTCCTGCAGAGATCGAGCAGAAGAGGCGAGAAGGGAAGTGTTTCAACTGTGACGAGCGGTTTACCTTTGGTCACAAGTGCGGGAAGCCTGACTTGATGTTCTTGGTGGGACGATGGGAAGATGAGGCGGAGGATGAGATGGCGGAGGAATCCGGAGCAGAGCAAGAGAAGCCGCAACCTTGAGGACAAGGTTGTTTCCCATGGAGGCGGGGATGTTAGAAACAAACAATTTACAGCTTTTCATTATTTCGTATTATTGTCGGTTTTTGATAATTGGGGGGATCATTTGGGGTATTTTCATTATGTGGGTAGCAGTTGGGTATTTTGCGGATTATATAATCTGCAGTAGGGAGTTATTTTGTCATTAAGCAATAAACTACAGAAAACCCAAAACCTAATCTCTCTCTCTCTCTCCCCAGCGCCGAATTCCCTCTCTCTTTCTCTCTCTCTTGGCCGATCGGCAGCCATCCCTCCCCTTTCTTCTTCCTAAAATCCCTAATTCTAATCCCTAGCTTGATCAATCCCTAGTTGGTCAGGCTATTTTCCCCAATTCTACAACCGTTAGAAACTTTGTTTCTAACAATTCACCAAGCCTTTCTAATCTATCCAAAGGTACTGGTCACTATTACATGTAGCATGCAGCTCAACACTATTTTAGCATAGATGTCACAGAAAGGAAAACATGGCCTAGCTCTACAAAAAGATTATAATCGATCTAGCTATCTTTAGTACCCATATTGCATTAGGCAGGTGAAAATATTATATCCAGAAGAGAGATACTCACAGCCATAGCATCAGCAATGGCAAATGCTTCGGTTTCAGAACCAACAGTCTCCATCTTCTCATTCTAGATTTCAAACAAAAACTGAGTCAGACATCCAAAACAGCTGGTTTGAAGGAAAAGCATTCAATCTGTACAAACGACCGACCTGCGTCCCAGTTGAGTTTATGTACAGGTAAATAGGCTTTGTTGCATCATCATAGTCCAGATACATAAACTGAGCAACAAGAAGCTCAGTGACTGCAGGTACTATCTGCAGACACAAAGAAGAGAAATGCACAACTTTCACGAAAAATAATATGCAGGTAAAACCATAAAAGGGCATCAATTACTCAAGTAAAGTCGCTTACTGACCGGCATTCCAAGATAGCATATCCGAGCATCTAACAGCAAAGAAGGCAGATCCGGAGGAGCGGATCTCGGCCTTCCAATTCCGCCCCTCCCACCTCCACCCCGATACATGCTCACACTCATGCTATATTTTGCTGGACCCATATCCGTCATACCTGATGTAGTGTACATCCCACCATGATCCAGATAGTTGCATCTAGATGAAATGCTTTCCTGTCAAGAAGAGTAGCAAACTTATTGTCTTGCAGTTCTTCGTCAGCTAATTCCAAAAACCAATAGAGTGAGATTACCAACTGGGTGAACTGCTTGTTATTCAGAATTATGTATGCTTCTCAAGAATACATATAAAATTTCCAAGAACTAGTAATAACCTCTGTCACTCTTTCAGACTGCCTACGAATGGGGTTATCTTCAGTCATAAACATGTCCATTTGTGAAGGAGAAAGCCCATACAACTGCCGAGGAACATTTTGGTAGTTTTCCATCACTGCAAAAGTAAGAAACAGAAGGATAAAATGCGAAAGAAATTCTGGGAAGAGTTAGTCCAGAATTTCTACAATGAAATTCGGCCTCCACTAAACTCTTAACAACTTGTTCGAAAACCTAGCTCTTCCACTGAAATTCGAACCCTAGCCAGTAATTTTAGGTATCAATAAACCTGAATCACTATCCAGATCAGCTATGCTTTCCGGGCAAAAAAAACAAGCGAATGAAATTAAGAGATACTATCACAACCTCGATGAACACTCAAACCAAAAACAATTGAAGGAAAGAGATACTTACGTCCGTCGATGAGGTTTTCTTGCCGGAACCGCTGAGGAATGCGGTCAAAAGGCTTCCCGGATGCGGAAGGAGATGTGTAGCATCTACGCTGAACTGCAGCTCTCTGATTCAGTGGATTGGCAGTGGAGAAGAGGAGGTTCGTACTGGAGAGGAAAGACGATTTTGGAAGGCCGGCAGTGGGAGCTAAGAGCTCCGTCGACGGAGCAGAGAACGGCGAGAGCAGAGAGGCCGCCATGGCTGTGGAGAAGAGGAGACTGAGAGGGAGAGAGATACAAAGGAGTGAAAAAAATCCAAGTTCAGAAGCTTTTCGTTGTAGCGTAGCAGAGTTCGGAGAGTAGAAGCGACCTGGTGTGGTGATGGAGAAGCCTGGGGCGTTCCTCTGTTCCTGATTTCTTCACTTCACGATATTTTTTTTTTCCTTTTTCAATTTTTTTATTTCAATTTATGTTTCTCATTTTGGGCTTTCTGACCAAGCTTGGGTTTCCGGCTTCAGTGTGGATCGTGGCCTCGTCTAGACCATATTGGTTTTTAGTCAATGCGGCTATGGTCTAAAACCTAGTGGCAACTGGTTCACAATTTATTTCGGTTAAACCGAATATTGGATCGTATGACCCGGTCCAGTTACGACCAAAATTGGATGCTACTGGGACTGCTCCGGATTACAGTCGTGGATCGTGGGGAAAATGTAATCGTCAACTAAGAGGAGAAATTTTACAATGCTATATAGTATTGGTGCTATCAATTTTTGTTTTTATGGTACAACTTCAGATTGTATCTATACTTTTTGTACAAATTCTTTTATGGTACAACTTGAACGTGTACCCTTATGTGATGGTACAACTTCAACTTGTAAAGTTGTACCATAACATAATGATACAAATTTTTTTATGGTACAATCTAAACTTATACATTTAATGTTATGGTACAACTTTAAATTATACATTAAAGCACCGATGTTAGAGCATCTCCATCAATGCAATTGTAAAAGAAATTGCATTTATGTTTTTTATTGTCAACCCAAATTTCTTGCAATCCACATCACATTCATTTCATTCACCTACATCAATGAAATTAACTTGCAATTGCATATATAATTAAATATTATGTTTAAATTACAGAAAATTAAGTAAAAGAGAAAAAAAATAATAAAATACAAAATCCCCATTTTTTAAGGCTTTTTTGACTTGCATATGGAATTGCATTTGTTGCAAGCTTGCAAATATGCAATTGGTAGCCATATCAATGCAATTGGTTTTGCAATTGCAAACACCTATGCCATGTCATTTTGCAATTGAGAATGCAATACCAATGTGGATGCTCTTATATAGCATAGTAGAAGTGCTCAACTTAGAGATGTAAAGATTTCGATGCTTCTACATCATTTTAGGAAAGAGATGAATTCATTAGAGGTTAGTTGACGATCTGTAGCTCTTAAGATATACAATTTTTGAAGATCATATATGATTTAAAGAAAGTAATGATTTTATTCATAGTTGGTAAGTACTCCCAAAGTGAATGTTAGACATAACTGACTAAATCTAAGGGCTCGTTTGCTTGTTGGATTTGAAAATGAAGGTTTTGAGTTTTAAAAACCTTTGGATTTATGATAGATTTGTTGCATCATGGATTTGGAAGAGTACATTGTTTGTTAGTTGATTTTTAATCATGGATTTGTGATGGATTTGTCTCACATTTTTTCTTTCTATTGTCAAATCCCAAATGAAATGTGGGATTTACAAATCCGTGGGGTCCACGGATTTGGATCTAAAAAAGGGGTCCAAATCCGTGGACCCCACGGATTTGTGTCCCTCAACAAACAAAGGATTTGTGTCAACTCCATGATGCTTGGGATTTGGGTTCCAAATCCATCACCCAAATCCCACAAGCAAACGACCCCTAAGATATTCTATGGCTGATTTCTAGATCTATACTCAATCTTTATGGCTGCCCCCTTATGTTGTGCACTCCTTTATCCTTAACGATCAAATTTTAGAAAGAAGTTTTGAACTTTCAGAAAAGTCCCCCAAAATAAAAATAAAAAAATAACAAACAAACACACACACATAAAAACCGTGAATAAAATGTTTGAGCCAATCATCATAAACAAATAGCGAAATCAACTGCAGCTTTTCCAGGTTAATATGGATGCAGTTAATCCCTTCTTCTGAATGCCAACCCTTCTTCGGAGCGAGCTTGCATGATTGGTTACTCCACAACCTCCAGAGCCAGAACAACAGTCTTGAGTTTGGTATTACCTGCTGGTCCCTTTGGAGGACCAGAAATGATCGTGTCTTCGCAGGCAAGATCATCACCCCTGAGACCTTCCTGCATCGTGTCCGTGCTTGGTTACCTGTAGTGAGGAATGCCCTGGACAAGGACAGGCTCATCCATAAGCCTTGTCCGCCTGCTAGAACGGAGGAGCAGATCTCTTGGAAGCCGCCTCCTCCCGAATGGGTTTGCCTCAACTCTAACGGCTCCGTCCTTCCTGAGACAGGCCTCGGCGCTGCTGGTGGCCTTATCTGAGATCATAGAGGACGCTGTCTTTCAGCGTTCACTTTGAACCTGAGTGCGTGCACTATCACCCAGGCGGAGTTGAGAGGTGCAATGGAAGGTTTACAGGTGGCGTGGGACATGGGACATCGCAGGGTTCGTGTCCAGCTTGATTCGCAGTGCGCCGTCCAGCTCATTCGTCGGACGGATACCGAGGAGCATCATTGTGCAGCCATCCTAGCTCGGTTCAGGGAGCTTCTGTCTAGACCCTGGGAGGTGTTAGTAGAGCATGTGTATAGAGAAGGTAATAGATGTGCTGATTTTCTGGCTAGTCGTGGACATGTGGTCTCGTTTGGTTTTCATGAGGTTGTAAGTTCTGATCCGATGCTCTCGTATTGGATCATGTATGACTGTCAGGGGATCTCTGAACCCCGGTTGATTTTGAATGAAAGGTAGGGTGCTGCTACATCCATTATAAAAAAAAAATTGTGAGCCATATGATTCATTGATAAAAGAGAAAAAAAACTAGAGTGATGATTCTGTAAAGTGGGCGAGGCATGTGGACCAGAATAGAAGAATGATTCGTAGGGTTAGGGGTCAGAAGAAAGTCAGAATTCACAAACAAAATTTCACCGCTCTGCAGTCCTCCGCCTAGGTGCAGTGAATTTAGATTGGAGGAGGACAATCCCCAAACTGCCAAAACAACATGCCCAAACGTGGTGCGCAAGTAACTTAACCAGATGGACCAGGTTGGCCACACTACTAATACGACACCTGGACACATACTCGCTTGTAAGTAAAACCCCGCCGTTTTGATCTTTGCACCTTTCAAAAAAGTGATCAAGCAAACAAGCGGCGTCACGGTTTACTGGCCGACTGGACCACCGGAAAATTGCCGAGAAAGAAGAGAAAGTTTGCTCATCATCCGTCCGCTCCGCCAAAGTTTTACTTGCACTTAGGCTGCTACGCCTTTAATAATAAAAAAATAATTATAATTCTTATTAATTAATAATTATAATACTTTTCTCTCGATCATCGAAATGGCCATTCTGTATTTAGTATATATTTGGTATGGGCGCACAGATGAGAAGAGAAGGAATAATAAGAACGGTAAAGAGTGGAAGAAAGGAATTAGTTGAATGGATAAGCCTCTCAGTCGGGGGGCCTAACAAAATCGTACGTGTATCCATGTTGCGTGGATATGGATGCTCCAAGTCGACTCCAATTTTATATGCATATATACGTATGAATATATCCTTCTCAAATACCTAAATTTACTTTGAGCTTCTCAGTGTCATTTTCTCTTCTTCTTCTTTGTTAATGGTGGTGGATGGTAGGGATTTGAGAAAAATAATTATGCTCCTGGGGTTCGGTACGAACTCGACGAAATCGGGAATGGTTAAATCTCGAATTCTAACCTTGTCGAATCACACTCTAAACGCGGTTAGCTGTTTAACCGATTATGTTGTTATGATTAATCAACTAATATAAAATGGTACTGTCAACGGTGAGCAAAAGTTAGTTAACAACTAAACGAGAACCGAATAAACAGTTATGGTTATAAGTTATAACCAAACCGAGTAATTAACAACCCTAATTAATAGTTGGAAAATTTAGTGAAGGGATTAATTACTAGCTAACCACATGGGTGATGACTCATGGGCGGACCCAAAGGTGTCTAATTTGGGGGAAAACAAAATTAACGATCCTCTAGTAGTATTGTGAGAATGGAAAAGTGGAGAAAAAGGCAGTAGTTCATAGTGTAGTTATGAACATTTTCCCATTAAACTGAAGTTCATTTGTTGTTGTCATTTTAATATAAACATAATTATAAACAAATATCTCTTATTTTCAATTTTACCAAAACAAAAGTAAAACCCAATCCACATATGGGCTACCCTTATCCCGCCATATTCTAACACAGAAATTAACAGTTTCGAGCTTTCAACCTCTTTTTTCTGACAGCCCAGGCATCCATTCCTCCTCAATCATTTGAGAATCCAACCACGGCTGACCTTGACTGACGAGAGGTGACGAATGAATCAAATAGGCAATCAGTCTGGAAATAATTATCTATTAGGATATACATTGAAAGATATTTGTTGAGCACTACAGGCAGCAAATTTATTTTACCATTTTCTTATAATAATTATAAAATACGATATACTTTTATTATAATTTGTACTAACAAAATATTTTTTTTATATTTAATTTTTGGACGAAACACCACTATATAAAATTCCTGGTCCGCTACTATGATCTCGAGCTAGCCTAGTGTAATTGCAGATTTGCAGGCAAAGGTCGATAGTATTTTTCTTTTGGATTGGTTGTTTGTTTGTTTGGGTGAATATAGCTACTCTCCGTACCATAGTCCATAATCCATAGTCCACAACGCCGCTTCAATATAGATTCCCCCTTGATACTTCCGCGTGGAGTTTAGTGCGAGGAGTCGTATTTTTGTCATTAACTTGTGTAACTTCTCAGCTAATAACACTTGTAGCTAGCATTTTGGAAGCAGTTGGAATTCTAATACAGAGCCCAAAACCTAATTAATCACAAATCAGCATGCATCCATTCCTTTCTGGGTGTAAAATCCAACCCACAGTTCAACTGACGAATGGCAATGGGGGGAATTTAAAGCTTTGGACATCACGCCCAATATCTTTAAAATCAACTGATGCTTCAAAATTCTTAATCCTTACCTTTGACCATTATTATTTGCTTAGTATCCCTTAATCAGTTAATCCCCAACTACTTGAGCATCAAAATTTTTTTTTTTGGTCTAGCTTTCCAAAATCATTTAACGACATCTCATGCAATTCAATAGCGATTATTTTACGGCAAAATACATTAATTAAACAACATAAACCACTGTGTTATGTAAACGTGACAACCTAATTAGTGTACACTAACTCCAGGCATGGAAAGAAAAGAAATTGTCGCAAAAAAGCAACAATGTGATATACATGAGATCGGTGATAATAATTAAAAATAATGAATTATTTAGGAGTGAGTGTTAATGATTTATCTTGAAAGATCACATTGAACCGGCACCGTATCTCTCCCCGTCATCCAAACTCCTGAATAAAACGTGCCTCACACTCCCACCATCTCTACACACATATACACTAACGCAACACAACTCCCACAAGATTAAAACTCCCTTCCTTTTTTATTTATTTATTTATTTATTACTTATCCATAATCTACCTCGGGCTTCACTTATCCACACACAGGCCCAACCCAAAAGGGTAGTTTTGGTACTTACTATTTACACCGCCGCGTTTCCTTTCACCCCGAGGAATTCTCTTCACTTGGGTAGAGAGTAAGTAAGTAAAACCCTAATTAATAATAAGCATAAAAGGAAAACCCAAATTGACTCGGAATTGGTCTACTAATAAGAGTAATTCCAATTCCTAATCCAAATCCTATTTCTTCTTCCCACTCTCCACCCATTACCATTAGTTGACCGACTTCACTCTTCCTTTTTTTTTCCCTTTTCCTTTTCCTTTCCTACAAAGGCCTGCTGGGCTCCACCGCCAACTCTCTCTCTCACTCTCTATATATTCATAATTACAGGCCGATCTTCCCCCTTCTCACTTCACTCTCACTCCTCCCTGCAAATTCCCCCCCTTGCTTTCTCTCTCTAAAATTCCGCTTTCGTGCTCCGCCTTCCCAAAGTCTCAATTGTTCGGGCAAAGGAGTTTTCGGTTGGGTAAAATATATGGCCATGGAAGCTCTCAATTCCCCCACCGCCGCCGCCGGTCCCTTCAATCGCGACGATTCCTGGACCAAGAGGAAGCGCTCCAAGCGCCCCCGCGCCGATTCTCCCGGTCCACCCACGGAGGAGGAGTACCTCGCCCTCTGCCTCCTCATGCTCGCTCGCGGCGGCGGAGGCGGCGGCAAAACTGTCGAATCCAGTCCCGTCGATTCCCAGCCGTCGTCGGCTCCACCTGCTCAACCCACTCCAGCGCCGGCTCTGAATCCGTCCTACAGTTGTTCCGTCTGCAACAAGGCCTTCCCGACCTTCCAAGCGCTCGGCGGTCACAAGGCCAGCCACAGGAAGTCGGTCGCCGCCGCCGCCTCCGTCGAAAATCCTTCCACCTCGAACCCTTCCTCCGCCGTCACCACCGCCACCATGAGCAGCGGAAGGACCCACGAGTGCTCCATCTGCCACAAGACGTTCCCATCCGGGCAGGCTCTCGGCGGCCACAAGCGCTGCCACTATGAAGGCACCCTCAAAGACAACAACAACAACAACGGCGGTGGCGGCGGGGCTGCACGCGAGTCGTCGGAGAGCACCATCGGGACGGCGGCGGCGGCGAAGAGCCAGAGCCAGAGTCAGAGTCAAAGCCGCGGCGGCGGTGGGTTTGGATTTGACTTCGATTTGAATCTGCCGGCCAGCCCTGAGCTGGGATTGGCCATCGGCGGCGGCGGCAGCGTGGTTCAGGAAGCTCCCCGGAGGATCGGCGGAGTAGTAGAAAACGAAGAAGTGGAGAGTCCTCTCCCCGGGAAGAAGCCAAGATTGTCGCTCGGCCTACAAGTCACCACCGACCTGGCTATCTGAAGAAGAATTACCCCTTTTTACTTTTTAGGCATATATATATAAAATAATAATTCTAGAATTAGCTTAATTTTCCCCATTGTTGCTGCTTGTTTAGGGTGGATTGGTTCAATATCTTTGTGTACAGGGAAATTCGTTTTGGGGATTTGGTAGACCAGTGTTAGTTCAATTGATTCATTTTAGTATTGCCAAATATTGATGAAAATTAATTGATATTTCCAGAATATATTCGTTGGTTCATACATATTTTCTGTCTTGGCTATGAATCATTCTCATCAGAAGAAGGAGAAGAAGAAGAAGTCCTCTGTTTCTTCATCCATGGCAATTATTCCGTCAAAATACAATGTATGCGTACAGGTTCTCCCCATCAACAAGTCAAGTCCTTTCTTTCTACTAGAACCGATTGCTTAGAATTTGGGTTTTGGAAAATAAATAAATAAATTTGAATTATAGAATCGATTGCCGCGTGTGAACAGCGCATGGACAGCGGGGAAGAGAAGAGACGGGCGGGAGAGCGGCGGTGGCGGCAGCGGGCTGACGGCGGCGGGCGGTGGGTTTGGCCGTTTGAACGAAACAGGAAGCTATAGCCATGTGGAAGAGTACAAAGGGAGAAGGCACATGTTGCGTGATGAATGCCTTTTTTCTTCGCTCTCTCGTGAAGGTCTGGCTGTTTTGTAACGAACACATTTCGGCGTGGCTGAATTAGGAGGGACACTTGGCAGGGATTTGCAATAATCCCACACCACTAATCATCATCTTTAATCTTTTCGTCACTGTTAGCTCATTCGGCCAACTATAATTAAGTGTCACCTGCCAAGGTCATTAGTCGATATCCGACTCAAAACTTGGTTCTGCGTGCGTCATCAAAATCCAATTTTACGGGTTTTGTTTAACCCTGTGTAAAATCCTTTTGCCAAAAGTTTCACTGCCCAGTCTAGGGGTGGGAATTTTCCGGTCAAACCAGAAGTCGGATAGTATAACTGGATTCGGTTATGAAAAACCATATCAGATAGAATCAAGGGCTAAAATCGGAATTTTAAAAGGGAAAACCGCTTCATGTCAGTGAGCCCGGCCCACTGGCCCAGTCCTGCGCTCATCCAAGCCCAGTTCAGACTTCGGAAGCCTAGATAGTAAAATCCCCAATGTCCCATAGCCCGACCCGACCGAAAGCCTAATCTCCTCTCATCCTATTCCTAGCCACTTCTACTTCTCTCCCTTTCTTGCTTGCTACATTCGACTATAATACCAGTAGGTGGCTATACGGTCCGGTCCGGTTAAATTGGATCAAATTGATCCAGTCCCAGTCCGGTCTTTTCGGGAATATAAGGACCAAAGATTGGATTGGATACAGTCCGGTCTTGATCCGGTCCGGTCCCAATTTTATCTTGATTTTAGGTGTTGGGGGTCTCTTATCCGGTTTTTTTACCTCAAATCTAAGCCCGAATATGAGATTGCATTGTTTGCTATCCGGCCCCAGTTCGGTCCCGGTCCGGGTTATACGGTCCGGTTTCGGGTAAAACCAAACAGTCCGGGACCAAATAGCCAACCCTAAATACCAGTCCCAGTTCGGGCAGTAAGAGCATCTAATGTAGGTATGTATTACATGCAAATATTTATTTTCCGTGTTTGGGGCATGAAACTATACCCTAATTTCTAATTGGTGAACTCCGTCCCTAATTATCTAACCTGAAGCATAAAATTCATTTAATCTGAAAATGTAATAATCAATGGTTCTGATACATCGAATAAGTCAGAGTACAAATAGGAAGTGTGAACACAGACGTATATCGTATGTCAGGCTTACGCAATATATTAATCCATTTGGAATGTTTTAAATTTTAGTAGTTGGAAGAGAGTTCACGGGTTGTAAGAAATGTTCTTGTAGTTGAACGTTAAGAAATACCAACCAGTTCAAGGAGTTGTTCCATCGAATGAGTTATTAAAAAGAAAAGAGCTTTGCTACGACGTACATACAGAGCAGGAGTGGGGATTGAGGGAAAAGGTGTACTAATTGACTTCACTTTTTATCTCCTTTCCATGTATTGTAGCAACATAATTGACTTCACCTTGAGCCGGTCCACGTCCATATCATCAAAATGAACGATCCAAGTAGTTTGCAAATTCCTCCCGTAGCTTCTTACCCTTTAGACGTGTAATTGGACCCTCCTGAGATGTTGTAGGCTTGATTTTGATGACCTCTCATTATGATCTCCCTGCCCGTGACTTCGTCACCTGTGCTCGTCACCACGCCGCGTTATGGGTCGATGTCACGGTCGTTACTTTTGAGGATGAAGAAGCCGGATAGTAAAAATTCACAACCGCGAGTTAGATGCTGAAGTTATTTATCGGAATCAAGTATAAACGTTTAGATATTTAAATATGAGTGTTTGTAATTTTATTATGAATGTAAGCATTTTAATCAAATATCAATTGTCAGTAAATTGACTTCAAATATGTTTTATACATGATTAGATTCATTTATTGTTAATAAAATTTTCACATTTCTACACCTTTTTGTTAAAACGACATGAACCGACACACATGAAATGTATCACCAATCGAATCATTTCACCAGCTAAACCAGCCGCAACAACGGTATAAACCAGTTTCACAAACTTGGTATAGTTGTAATGAGCAAATAGCCAATAAAGCAAAGCCGGGTGAGGAGAGGAGTAGTGTGTCAGGTTTGGCGTGCATAAACTCAGAAAAGGTGGTGATGAATCAGAATGAATATAGGGAGGGACTCATGAGTAGTTTCCCTTCCCTTTCCTTTCCCTATATTGCACACAAGAACAGGAATGATTAATATCTCCCTACTTTTCCTCTCTTCTCTTACTAAACGATTAAAGCAAAAGAGAAAGGGAAAACTGGGGAGCCAATAGGAAAATTGTCTTTTCGTTTTTCTTTCTTTCTTTCTTCCTCTACTTTTCTCGACCTTTTATCGCACACAACTGTAATGCCAAATTGAGCTACCAATTGGGAAGTGCTGCTGCTAGTGCTACACAATGGTCTGCAACAAACATTTCTGAATTCTGCGTAGTTCATCCTTTTCCTGTAAAAGTCGGAATTTCTTTCGAGGGTTCTCAAGATTCTTTCCGCAAAGTGAGTGATTGAGTGAGTGAGTGATGATTGCCAGCTCATTCATTCTCCTGGGTTGGAACTTATTACGAGTGGAGGGTTTATTTCTTTGGCGGTTCCATTTCATGGATTTGGCTGATCTCTAGCTTTGGATCTTCATTCATTCTTCCACTACCCACCCAACACCAACAAGCAGCAGCAAAGCAGAGTCCTGGGTTAAGGTAAAGCTTTCGTCTTTTGCTGGTTTTAACAAATTTTTTTTTTTTTTAAACATACCTCTTCTCATGTCCTGTCCGAGTGTCTGTCTAATGGATATTGCTGGTGTTTGCATTTCCCCAATTTTCAAGCCATCTGTCTTCTCAAACCTTGCGTCTGTGCCCTTGAATGGGTTTTCCTTTCGCTTATCTGCAAGCATTGAGTCTCGGGTTTTGTTGGGGGTTTACACGGAGAGTAGCTTTTGGGGCTTGTCTTGTTGTTGGCTGTGAGTGAGTGAGTGTGTTTCCCCCACCTTTTCTTTCGTTTAATGTTCTTTGCTTGCCAAGTTGGTTTTAGATACAATGTGATCATGTGGGGAGTTTAGTAAATCTCTGGTTGTTTAGGATTGTAAATTATTAACTCTGTTTCTTTCTCTTCTCAGTGGAGATATTCTGGTAGATTCCTTCATTGTAGGGATGGTATTTTGATTTCCCCCCCTTGGGATTTATTCCCCCATGCTCTTTACTAACCTTGTGAGAGGGAAATGAAGGGGGAAAAAAGAAAGATAGATAGATGCTGCTTGTCTGCAAATTTGGTGGTTTCTTCAACTGATACCGAGATGCTGTTTTCTGTTGCAGTATTCAAACTTCAACGGTGGCCAGAGATTTGGGAAAACAAAAAAATCAGAAAGCATTGTACTGAAACTTGTGGGTTTTTATAATTTTCTGTAATCAAGTTTGGAACTTGGGAACCTCTCCAAGTGGGCTTAACATGTCTTAGTTGAGAGAGAGAGAGAGAGAGAGTGATATGAATCTTTGAATAATAAAGTGGAGTAAAGAAGAAAAACAAAGGCAGCAGAGATTGCAGAGGGGGAAGAAAGATAGAAATATTAGCAGCAGTGAGTGCTAGAGTGTGTGTGTGAGAGAGAAAAGGGAGTCAGATTGATGCTTGTATGTGAGTGGGAGTTGTCTTCCAGAGTCTTGTGAATGAATTAGCTGAATAGTTTAGTTAAGAGAGCCTTGTTGGCCATGTCCCCTTCTTCTGATTCACTGCCTCCGGGCTCCGTGGGCTTTGCCGTCGATTTAGGTAACACCCATTCCTCCATATAATCTCTCTCATCTTCCTTCCTCTGTAAGAGATCCTTCATATTTTCCTCTTTAAAAACAAACAGTTTGATCTGAAATCTTCCTCTAGTATCTCTCAGTCCAAGTTATCCCCTTCCACACAAAAAACTTCAGTCCTTCCCCTCTCTTTCATAGTCAGACTTGTTTCGCCTTGCCTCGATTTGCTGTCAAGATTTGGTGGTAATGCTCCATTTCCTACTGCAGAAAAGAGGATCCCCTTCTTAATTACCACATCTTTATTATTCAATCTCCCTCTCTCTCATTGAGGCTTTAGAAGAACACCCAGCAAAACCTTCTTCTTCTTCTTTCTTCTTCTTCTTTCTGATTCAGCAATCTGGTCCCCACTCCCTGGGTTATTGCTCCCATTTCCACAATACAGGCAACTTTTCTCCTCGAGACTTGAGGGGTTATGTATATATATTTCACTGGGAAGGTGTGTGGTTTTTGGTGCTGGAGTTGTTTCTTGGTTGAATAGTGAAAAAGGGGGAAGGTTTGTTTGCGTGGAAGTACAGTAAAGTTTGTGGCTTTCTCTCTTTGGCAAAGATGAAGTTTATGAAACTTGGTTCGAAACCTGATTCCTTTCAGACAGATGGCGACAATATCAGGTGAGACTCATTTCAACCTTCCTTTGCTTGCTCACTTTCTCTCTTTTTCTACATAGAACTTCCAAGTTTCCTGCCTCTACCTTGGCCTTTCTGCTTATGTAGACTTGGTTTGGTTGTGTGAGTGGTGCCATTCAGATTCCTGATAATAACCAGCTGATATACTAGTATTAATGCATCAGATTTTCAGATACCAGGGAAGCCGACACCCTTTTCCTATCCTAGCTTCCTCATTTATCACTTGTTCTTGTCTCTTTATACTATGAAGTAGTCTGTGTATATCATTGACTGTGCGCTGTAGATCACTGGGTATAGCTGCATTTTACTGCCTGCTTCATGGTTGCTTGTTTTTATCGATCTGTCAAACTTGAACTATAAGAGCTAAGGTCTCGATGCCGAAAACCAGATGAACACCCTTTTGATCCAATCGAATGATTTAGATGCCCTTTGTCTGAAATCGAGTATGCCATGAACAGTATGCCGAGTAATCATCTTGTTTGAAGTGGAATGAGTTACTAGAGCATTATTATGTATCTTCCATTGTTTCATGTGCAGGTATGTGGCTACTGAGTTGGCAACTGATGTCACTGTTATTGTAGGAGATGTCAAATTCTATCTGCACAAGGTACAACTCTACCCACCTTTCTCCATCGTTAAAGTCTTCATCTTTAAATGTCTACTAACAAGTTTCTGCCTTAATTGCAGTTTCCCCTTATGTCCAAAAGCGCTCGCTTGCAGAAGTACGCTGTCACAAGTAATGGAGGAGAAAGCAGCGATGAAGTTGACATCTCTGGTATCCCCGGTGGGCCAGCAGCATTCGAGGTCTGCGCCAAATTCTGTTATGGAATGACTGTAACCCTCAACGCCTACAATGTCGTAGCTGCACGTTGCGCCGCTGACTTCCTTGGAATGCACGAATCCGTCGAGAAAGGAAACTTGATCTACAAAATCGATGTGTTCCTTAGCTCCAGTATCTTCCGCAGCTGGAAGGATTCCATCATCGTCCTTCGAACCACCACCTCGCTACTGCCGCTGTCCGAGGACCTGAAAGTTGTTAGCCACTGCATAGAAGCTATAGCCACTCGAGCCTGCGTGGATCCGTCGAGAGTCGATTGGTCGTACAGTTACAACAGGAAGAAACTCCCTGAAGAAAATGGAGACACTGGAATAGGAACAACGACAAATGAGATTATCATGAGAAACCGTTCAGTGCCGAGGGATTGGTGGGTCGAGGATCTGTGCGAGCTTGGGATTGAGCTTTACAAGCGTGTGATCACCACCATAACAAGCAAAGGGATCCTTCATCACGAGGTGATTGGTGAAGCTTTGAAAGCTTACGCTTACAGAAGGCTGCCAGGTGTACTCGGCAGCAGCAGCAGCAGCAACAAGGGTGGTGTTGTCCAGAGTGAAGAAATGGTGAAGTATCGGTCGATGGTTGATGCCATCGTGTGGCTTTTGCCTGCAGAGAGAGGCAGCGTCTCGGGTAGCTTTCTTCTGAAGCTGTTGAAAGCAGCCAGTTATGTTGGCTCAGGTGATCAGACTCAGGAACAGCTGGTGAGAAGAATAGGACAGCAGCTGGAGTCGGCTTCTGTGAATGACCTCCTCATACGACGAGCTAATGGTGGTGGCGAAAGAGATGATGACAGCATGACGACTTATGATGTCGACGTGGTTCAGAAGATGTTACGAGAGTTTGTAACGCAAGATCAGATTGCTGAAGTTGAAGAGATCCAACAAGGAGCAGCTGCTGGGATTTTGTCAGATGCTTCCAAGCTCATGGTAGCCAAATTGATTGACGGGTATCTTGCTGAGATTGGAAAGGATCCCAACTTACCAGTGTTGAAGTTTGTGGAGATTGCCGAGATGGTATCTGGTGTGTCTAGGCCTGTACATGATGCTCTATACCGTGCCATCGACACCTATCTTAAGGTAGAACTCAAACTTGAAATTTGAGGCTTGTTTAGTTCATAAGCTTGGAGAGTACAGTAGTCATTGAAGAGTTAGCTGATAGCTTTAGCAAATATCAACCCATTCCACTTTAAATTTGTCAAACACAGATCAATCTAATCCAAAGCCGATGAATATGTCAACCTTTAAACCCAACTCGTTTGACACCTCAGTTGCTGACTATGGAGCTCTCACTTTTCATTGATTGCAGGAGCATCCAGGTATCAGCAAGAGCGAGAGGAAGAAGATATGCAAGTTGATGGACTGCAAGAAGCTATCTGTTGATGCATGCATGCACGCAGTGCAGAACGAGAGGCTTCCATTGAGGGTTGTAGTACAAGTACTATTCTTCGAGCAGGTGAGGGTATCTGCGACATCAGGGTGTAGCACCCCTGACCTGCCGAAGAGCATCAGGGACCTAAACAACGGGTCGCAAAGGAGCTCGAGATCAGCTGTGACAAACCCGGATGAGGATTGGGATGCATTGGCAACCGCGGAAGAGCTAAAGGCCCTGAAAGCTGAGGTGGCTGCATTGAGACTGCGACGGATTGGGAGCAGCAGCAGTAACAATATGGATCGAGGGGGTGGTAGCTACAGAATGAAAGGGTTGCTGAAATCGAAGAAAGTGTTTGCAAAGCTGTGGTCAAGCAAAGGAGAGAAAGGGGAGAACAGTGGATCAGACTCGTCAGGATCTCTTGGATCTACAACTAATGGCACTGAAGAAGCAAAATCTACACCTTCAAGGAACAGAAGGAAATCAGTATCTTGAAAGTAGTAGAGATTTTAACATAGGGGGGGAAAAGGGTTGTCCTTTTTGCTACATTGGCTCCATCAGTAATTTGGTTGGTTTTATTTTGTGGGGTTTCCTGTGAACACTGAATTTTAACGACTGTTAACACGTTAAAAGGGATGGCAGTTTATGGTCTTAAGGAGGCGAGTACAGCTGATGCATAGCATAGAGCTCGAATGAAGAATAGTGTGTACTAATCTAGTCCTGTATCAACTTCTGTGGAAAAAGGTTTTGGAAACTTTGAGGGTGGAGGGTAAATCTTACCACCAACTTTGAACTCCAATCCCCTGTTTGTCTTCTTAACCCGAAAACAGGAACATTCAAGTTTCCATCAAAATCTCAATTCTCAATGCAATGCTTCTTTACAGTACTACCTGACCATTACATTCTTGTCTAAAAGCCTTAAACCCAACATATTGGAACTATACGAGGCATGTTCCGACCTCGATCTAACATATGGTCTAGAACAGCACTAAGTTCCATACTCCGTTACATAGGGAAGTAAATGCCAACTCAGTCATCCTTCAGATTTCCTATGCCTCCACTGCTTTATTATCTGTTCCCAACATCCTCACCCTTCTCGTAGACGAGGCGTTCTTGCCACTGCTCTGCCCACCGCCATTGCTCTTGGGAACACATCTCTCCATAATCCGGATAGGGATTCCATCTAGACCGAAGTCTTCCTTCAATGACCTCGTTAAAAACCGAATCTCCGCCTCTGAAAGCTGATGCTTCTTCCCGCTTGTGAAGGCAACAAACGTGGGTGGACGAGCCTTCACCTGGGTTACGTACTTTATCTTCGGTTGCGACCCCTCACCTCTCCATGAATGCCTGCTCATAACCTGCCCCCAATGATACCAAGAAAGCAATCACGATTAACATTGATTAGTCAGAATTTAAACAACCGATGATTATGCAGCCGAGTTAGTCTAACCTTACGCAACCAACGGTTCAACCGAGCGGTCGATAACCTTGAGCACCATTTCTCGTATGTCTCAATCACCTGACGCATAACAGGTATCCTGCCTTTACCTTCTATCGCCGAAGTGAATATAACTGGGATTCCTGTAACCTGCAGCAGACATAAGGACCCCAATGGTGAAAAAGAAAGTCGCCTAATTCAAAATAGGACGTGAAAAAGTAGACACACATACCTGCGGTATAACTGTTTGAATTTCCATAGGAACACTTTCCATGACCTTCTCATATAGCGAACCAGCCCGCTTTCCTTTAAGAAGGTCCATCTTGTTCACTACAACAACCAATCCACGCCCTTCTTCTACTGCTCGCCTAGCTATAACTACTTCAGCATGTGTCATACTACGTCCAGCTTGTACAATCTAATAAGTAGAACTAAACGTTGTTATGACCAAATAAAATAAAAGCAATTGAGCAAAAGGGGAATCATCTCCTACAAACTTTTTGTTCCTTTACCAGAAGTTACTTTCTCTATTTGCCTCTAAAAAAAGTTCTGAAGCATGAGGTGTTCCCCCCAACCTTTCATCTTTTTCCTCTTCATTTTCATATATCAAGCTTTTGACCCTTTATATCAGGTGAATATCAATTAACCAAAGACATCCTACAGTAGAAATTAGGAGAACAGCCGAGGCAAAGAAAGCATGTCCAAAGCAAGGAGGTGAAGATTTCCACAAGAATAGCATTTCACTGACCTGTTCTGCATCAAGTACCAAAGCTATCACATGAGCTCTCATCAAATTCTTTTTGGATTGCATTATGCTCAATGACGATGGTCTTTTCTCATCCTTAGTTCTGTGCAACCAACCTGCCGTGTCAACCTGGATTACATAGTAAATCAACAAATCCACAAAGTGCACATCAAAATCAGGCGAAACTGAAAGCAAACAAAGAGAGAATACGTGTAAAATAACAGTTGCTGAGATCTAATGGACAACAAAAGAACCAATTAGGAATCAGGATTTCCATTTTGCTGCAGCTTTAGCATCAAATGAACAGTTTAAGTTGTTGTATCTGTCAGCCTGCGTAGCAGATTGATCTGAGTTCAATCAATACAGTATTCCAGTTTTATACCTTAAAAGAAGAACCTGATAAATGGGCCAAACCATCACAAATGGGGTGGCCAAAAATAAAAACACTCAGGAAAATTGCAGGAAGCAGATTCACTTTCAGAAAATTACCCTCAAGATGCTGATAGTGGTGAACTGCATATTTGCTACATGCTTTATGGTTCTAATTATATCAACTGAGATTAGGGAGCTTAAATGTCTCTTTTCGCTTTCATGTCAGAACTTGCGCCATTTTTTCGCTTATTGGCAGCTAGACTTTCAGAATCATGAAATCGGATATATCCACCAGAAAAGCACAAAATTAATAGGCAAATCTTCATAAATATATTTAATTGTTTCTCACAGTTGAAAGCACAAAAATCCTTACCAAATATATAGTCCTCCCTTGAAATTCGAACTGAGCTCTAACAGAGTCTCTAGTCAAACCAGCTTCAGGACCCACTAGCACCCTTTCTTCTTGTAACAAGGCATTCAGCAAGGTTGACTTTCCAACATTGGGACGTCCAACGATTGCTAACTGGAGTGGCAATTTAGAATCATCAACCTCTTCCAGACTACTTTCACCGCATTGCTGTGGGCCTTTATCCTCACAATCACCTAAGGTTAGCAATATATAGTATTAAACGATCACCGAGCAAAACATACTAATGTTTGGTCCAAATTCTACCATACAGATTACAAGCTTGTTCACAGGAATGCTAGAAATACCCGTGAGCCCTTACAAACCCCAATCAGGAGAGCTGTCAAATTACTTCTAACGGTTCAATGGTGGACATACACATGATAAAAATATTACGTGAATTTCAGGTACAAAGAACAAAAGTATACTAGAGCAAAGGTTCCCCTTACTGTTCAAGACTTGCAATACATAATCCTCAATAGAAGGTCTGAGAGCTTCATGCAGTGCTGTCATGCCAAACCCCGTTTCAGCAGAAATGGCAATAGGATCTCCAAATCCAAGAATACGAGCCTCATCAGCAGCTTCGCTGAAGGACTCAGTCCCATCAAATAGCAATTCAGCTTTATTCAACACTACCACAGGTTTTATTTCTGGCGCATTTTTCCTCAGCCACTTCCCAACCTCCAAATCCAGCGGATGCAGGCCAGCTCTAGTTTTTCAGCAATACCAGGAAATATAAAAAATTGCATTCATCAGTGTCCATTTGTGACATAACTACACATTCTACATTTTTTGGAGTTATGAAGGAAAAACACGTCCAAACAGTAAAATCAGTCAAAATGCATTAGCTTTTCAAGAATGTGATGCATCATCAGCAAGGAAGAGAAAGGTACCAGCCAGTCCAGAGGGACAGGGGACATCAACTATAAAGAAACCCTTTTGGATATATTACAGGACGTAACTATTCACTATTGCCAAGTAGCACATATGGAAACAATCCTCTTGTTCAATTTCAAGTTTTACTATGATGCATCTGAAGCAGCAATATTATCATATATTGCAACAGCTGTCACATACACTCATAAATAAAAACACAGACCTGGCATCAATCAGGAACACTGCAAACTGAGTTCTTGCTAGCACATTGGCAGTCATGGTGGCTGTTCTTTGAAGAATAGACCCCGAAGTAGCTTCAGTTTCCAAGCCAGCTGAATCCAGTACTTTAAACCGCAAATCCCCCAATTTGGCAATCCCTTCTCGAATGTCACGAGTAACATGGTCATCGGGTGTATTGTAGACAAGAGCCTCCCTCCTCCGGATCAACCTTTGGCCCACGAAAATGACAAAAAAAAAGCAAATAATATCTTCAGTAAGCTCTCACACACACAATAACTAGCCAGTATACTACCCTCTACATATTCACATAACACAGAAATAAACAACCATGAAACTGACCGATTGAATAGGGCTGATTTGCCTACATTGGGGCGTCCAACAAGAATGACGGCTGGAAGGAAGTTGATGTCCAGTTTGGTGAAGTCGATTGGTCTTTTATGAACAACCTTAACTTTAATGGGAACGACAGCATCCAAGCAGGAGGGATCCAAAACCCGCGCAGCCGCATCAGGTATTGAACCAGAACCAGACTTCAAATGTTCGTCCTGAGAGAGGGAGGAGCAAAAACTGCGACGGATCGTAATCAAATGTGCGAGTCGGCCTTCCCCAATATGAATGTCACCGGCACCAAATGAAGGTCCTGGAAGAGGACCATACAGTGAAGAATAAGAGCCAATAACAACAGCAACAAAAGGGTAAACAAGGCAATTGACGGTGAATGAGGCACTTACTATGTCCTGGTCTGAATCTGTTGGGTATACCATCGTTTGATGCGTGGATTGAGCGAGTGGGGTTTCCGGAGAGAAAGCTGCTGCTGCTGTGGCGAGCAAGGACTTTAAGGAGAAACAGTAGAGAGCCCTGCCTCTTTCGTGGAGAAAGGGCTGGGAGAGAAGTGATAAACATATACACTGCCGCTTTTCTTCTTCTTCTTCTTCTTTGGTTGAACTAATAATGATACATCCACAAACAGGGCATGAGAGACCGCCGCTTGCTGATTAACCGTCGTTCTGAATTAAGGAGGGGAGGCAGTGGGGGAGTCGCCCAAATTTCAGACTCAAACGGCACGAAATCAAAGTAAAGCCGACGATGAGACTTTCCCCAGACAGTAGCTCGATTTCCTGGCCTGCTGTGCTGGGTTCAAGCCTGCCTGATTTCTGTTAGAGGGGCATATCGGAACAGACGAACAACAACATTAACTTCAAAAGAACAAACGCAAGCATATAACCAACAGTAGCAAGCAATTCAGAGCTATTTTGATTCTGAGATACTGAAGCAGTAAAAGCTCCAAAAGAATCAGATTTCTATAGTTCGACGATTGATAGAGCAAGAACAATTAGCTCCGATTATTTGCTTCTAATGTTGAACAAACAGCAGGTAGAGGGGCGATAAAGTGAACTGAGCTGGAAAAAACTAAATAGTGGGAATTAGGGACTAACAAGTCGGCGATAAAGCTTCTCCGGCAGGGCTAACCGGCGACGATATGCAGAAGACGGCCGGCGAGCTGCGGAAGACGATGCGCGGGGAGAGGAGCGGGAGAGGCGCCGATGATGCGGCCGGGGAGAGAACGCCGGCGGATTGGCGGACGGAGGTGGATTGGGGAGCCTTAGTTGTTGGCTATTCTCTATTCCGCTGGTTGCTGCCTCGTTCGACGGACGGACGGACGGACGGAAGGGAAGGCGTTAGTTGGCGGCCAGGGTTAGAAGAAGCCCCATTCCGCGAAAACGCCGACGTTTCCATGATCCGTGCCCGGATAAATCCTTTCAGAACTCCGGCTTTGAGCGGTTGTGGGCTAACTCAAAATATGTCTATTTTTGGCTTCTTTTATGCCCGGTTCTGGCCTGACCTGGTCCGACCATCTGGTCTGATCTCAGTTTGTCAATCTTGGTTTTGACCGATTTTTATCGATTTTGACCGACGACCAGCTAAGACTAAAACATGGCTATCAGGAACCGCTTGTGTGGCCGATTGTGGTCTGACCTGATCTGAGTATCCGACCGTTCAGTTGGACTCCGACTTAACAACCTTGAGGAGGACTGAGGAGTGGTGGGAGTAGTGTTGCTACGAATGACACTTAATTATTAGAATCGATGAAGGCGTGCCACTGGTCTTTATCTAGGGCACTTCGTGCCATCGAACTCGCTAACATGTGCACCTGGCACCATTACTCTTAAAATTAGCACAATGTTCAAAATTAGTTCTTCCTACTTTTTCATTGTACAATAAATCTTTTTGACTTATCATAAGCATCTTTTTCTTAAAAATGTCTTCTGTAGGCTCTAATACCAAACATAGATCTGGCAAATAGTTCATATTTATTTTCAAAGTTTGTTACTGACTGTTGTAGTTTTTCTAGCTTATTTATTACTTGGATACTAGTTGTCTCTTTTGGTTCTAAATTTTGTTCGATTACTGTGATGTGTGATGTGTCTAATTCTTTCTGATTATGTTCAGATCGTCCTTCTTTAACCTTGATGTAATGATTGTCAATTAGGTTGGAAAAGACATAACTACTATATCACTTGGCAGGTTTCATCATTCTTCTTCCACCTCGAGGGATCGATGTGGGAAGGACACTTCCTACTATATGAGCCAGGTTTCATCATAACACCAAGCAAGCTATAAGCCTAAACATTAAACGCCAGAAACCCTGTACTGTAGTCATCTTAAAACTAATCCATGTTTAGAACACCAAATAACAGAGACGAAATGAGACGGGAATCATGGCCATTACATACAACTATATATACACTGTGCAACACTATCTTTTCTCAAGAGTTACCCCATTAACAATAGTGTGTACTTACTTGTATACAGCTACTTAGAAGGGAGAGGGATGGGAGTTTTTTCTCTGTAATCTACTAGAAGGAGGGGTTACAAACATGGCTTGGAGGAAGACATGACATACTACACAAAGAAGACCGATCACATCTGGCTGGAACAAAAAACAACATGCCAATGATGGTGAAGCCAAAAACTAGCTGCTTCAGTCCATGTCATTGCTCTATTTTTTATTACCTCCAGTGCAGAATCTCTCACCCGAGTGGAAAAGGTGACGCCGTATGGATGTTGGTCATGTTAGCAGTGTTTAGAGAGTGAGTGGTCAAAGTGAAGATCAGTTCTCTACACATGTTGTCAGGTTGCCGGTAGTCGGTAATCGGTTTAGTTGCATCATGTGCGTCCTCAAGCTACAGTCTTTTACCTGTTAAATACATCATCAGAGATGTCAAACACCCGGGTTCAGTACACCTGGTGAGACTGAGACTACGTTACAACTCGCACGACCAAATCTCATGACATTTTACCTGCAAGGCCGCTAGTGTTGACAGGAAATCTCTACATTGATCAAGAAAAACTTTCTCCTTCGCTATTATGTTCACAAGTTCAGCCACCAAGGAATGCATTTCGTCCACCTGTCAGAAAACAAATGGCACTCAGATGTCAAGCTCTCTCTATATGTTTCAACTTCAAGCAAATTGCTATTGAAACCATAAATGTTTCAACTTCTTTTCCCAGTTTGTTGACTGCATAAGTTACCAAACCTACAAGACCATAAGACGATTCTGGTGGGCAATCCACCTAGCTAATATAGTGTTAAAGGACACAGAAGTACGAGCCTATTGAACAGATCATGTTCAAGTATCATGCTAATAAAGGAATTTAAGTATTCCATTAATCCATGAAATCCAAAGTGAAACTATATCAAGTTAACAACCATCCAGGCATTTTCACAAAACGCGCTAAGTCATCTGGTTCATGCCAAGACATTTTCATCTTGAACCTTTCCAGACACTAAACTGCTTGATTGTTGTTTGCTCTCAAGGTAGGTGACAATGACACATAAAAATATGGTCAAGCCACATTCTCATCCTTAGTCCTCAATTATCATTCACTTGGTAAAGGAAAAACTTGATAGGTCAGAATATTGCAAGACGATTATGGTCATTAGGAAACCTTAAGGAGTAGAAAGCAGGATGCATCAATGAAAAGGAGCACAAAGAGGCACAACGGGTATGGTCCTTAGGAAACCTTAAGGAATAGAAAGCAGGATGATCAATCAAAGGGAGTCCAAAGAGACAAAGCACAACAGCTATGGTCCTTAGTCCTCAATTATCATTCACTGGCTATGGTCCCTAAATCCCTTATATCTACCCGCTTACGAGTTATCGCGGGTGCCCAAGATCTGTGTTTCTTACACGAACTTTCTCTTGAGACGGTAGAATTCTATATATAAGATCAAAGGACAAGTTACCTTGGATAGTTGTGAGCATATCGAAGATGCCATCGCTTGCATTATATCAACGGCTGAGCCCACAGCATCCTTCAGGTTTTGTACATCGGCCTGTTATTTGAATAGAATATTAACATTGACAAGTGTTATATCCTACAACATGCAAAAATAAATTTAAATGTGATTGAGAATGGCGCCCCATACAATGGCTTTTCCAACAATTGGAAGACGGAGGGTGCTGGCCTTCAAGGCTTCAGTTGCTCCATCTAAGGAGGTAATGTGATCTCTCTCAATAACTGACCAATCATCGAGAAAATTAATCTGCATTTACAAAGGGAAGGAGCATAACCAATCAAAAAGAAAGTCACTGAAGACTAAACAAGGGTGACCTACATTTGCTATCTGACTGTGGAATAGTGCAGTAGACATCATCACATCTATAAACAAACAAGAGTATCCAAGCCTTTCTATAGCTGTGCAAAGAGTATTCTTACCACAAAAAGAGCAGCTAGGGCCTCCCATTGCGGTATAGGAATCCATTAATATCCGAACTATTAATTTCCAAGACATCCATCCAACTTATTTTCAAGTTAGAAGAGTAGCAACGAGTACCCAACTTTTTCAATGGTGATCTTGAATTCATATAAATGGCTTGCTTAGGGCAAGAAAAACAATGGGGAGAAAATGAAAATGATAGTTCAATGGAAACTGATCTTAGTACATCATGGTTTAAGGATGAGAAACAGAAAACGAGAGAAAAGAAAAGTATGAGTTTCTTTACCAGTTCCAAGGAATAATATGAAACACAAACCGTATTAACAGTAAAATTTGAGAGAACAAAGAAGAGAAGTCAACATTCTATCAACTACTTCTTTAATGAACAATGCCAATTCGCCAGTGTTTGTGCTAGGAAGAATGGAGCTGGGGCTCCAGAATGCACTACCCACAATAACCACATACAATTCATTTCACATTCTAGTAGGGATGAGATTTTAATGCACATAGCAGTTGCAGATAGTCAGCAAAAAGTTATAATTAACTGGATATTTGAAACCTACTTGTCCCTTCATAATAGAAGTTAGCTTCAACTTCTGCTTCAACAGGAGCAGCTTGACTCTTTTAAGCGTAACAGAGTGCCGCAGTTCCGATATTGTCAACCATGCATTCCACATATTTTTCTGGTATAAAGGATAGACAATGATTCAGCGACAAAGAATAGGAGATGATTTCCCAGTGCAAAATCAATAAACATTTAACTCGCAATTTATGAAACAACATGACGTACAAGCATTTGTGCTTCATTGGGACCGTATGGCATATGAAGAACTAAGGAAAAATCGCATTGAGCTAAGAGATTTTAGCAGAGGGAGCTTTTACGCCTTTAACGCTATATATTTCTGCCTAATCTTCTTCTATGCCCAAACAATATAGCATCCACATAAATGATAGTGTTCAACATACCGACAGCAAATATACTAGCAATTTTGGAGCTACTACAACAAAAGACAACTGGAGTTTCTAATTACCAATGACAATGCTTATTAGATTTCCAAAACAACAGTTTCCTACTTAATTGGAAGCATGCTTGCTACTTAACAGAACTATGATGTTCTGCTTAAGAACAAGAAAAAAGAACGAGAACCAGATTCTCCCTTCTTTCTTTATCTATCAAACAAGATACCACTGATTAATACTTTATACACGATAAAATATGGATTCAAATCTTCATTTGGAAACTCCTGAAACTTTCATTTGGTATCTAACGGCATTAAATTGCCTATTGTTTGTCCATTGAAGACCATCATTAACAGACACTGTTTTTCCTTGCTTAAAGCACAAGCTTATAACAACATTTATTTAACCGTCAAACACCACAAATATGGTTTAGGCGCAAAAATCAATTCCTCTTGTATAGCTAACAAGGTACATGATCCAAGCAGTTTACTAACTGACCTGAAATCATAAAGGCACCGAAACTAGAAGACTGAAACCAGCAGAAACTATAAAGGTTAGACGCGAATCTCGTACCTCTGCATTCAGTTTCTGGACCATGAAGGTGGTATCGGCCCTCGCATTTACAAACCGCCATTGCAAGTAACGGTTATAGAGAAGTCTCAAAGTGTGTGCATCATTGATTCGGTCTTCGCCAATCTTCCCCCTCCTCAAATCAACAGAAAAACTTAGAATTGAAGGCGTACTCATTGGACTACTACTCATTGGCCTCACCCTTGAAGGACTAGACATTCCTCTCATCGGAGAAGAAACTGAAGATGTCCATAGCTTACCAGGCGAAGCCGGCCTCGTGGACCCTCGTATAGGTGAAGCAGCCATTGATCTAGGAGATGCTAATGGACCATCAGTGCTAAATCTTTTCGACTGTGTGACCTTAGACTGTAAACTCATTCTTGGCCCTGGACTCGTAGAGAGTGGGGAGCCTGGATCCTGCAGCCTTCTCAACCTACTATTTGTTTCTTGCCAAAACCTTGAGGATACAACAATCCCACGAGGCCCAATTTTACCTTTGGAAATCCCAACCCCACCACCCAATTCTTGAACACCTGAATTACTACCAGAGGAAACACTATCACTGTCTGATTCAGTGAGATCACCAACAAAACAAGAGTCCTTTTCTGAATTGGCATCTGGGTTTAGCTTCGCACTGCCTAAATCCAAACTCAACCTCCTACTAGTCTCATCAAACAGCATAGACTGCTGCAATGACTTGGCCCCCAACAATCCAGATCCAACTGTCCTCTTATCTCCGCCGCTGTTATAATCCAAGCTCCTAGACAACAAGGCACTTCTCTCTCTGGAACTCAAATTCCCTTCCCTATTCCTGGCCGGCCACCTATGCTGATCCCCGGGCCTTGAATTCTCCACCTGATCTCTCACAGGGGTCGCCCTCCTCCTCTCAGGGGTTGCTTTCCTACCTGCACTCTGGGGCGTGACTGCCTTGGCCTTGCTTATGGGGAGCGAAAACGCTTCGCCCTGAAAGGAAACCGATAAACTCCTAGTGGAAGTGATCAACATCTTGGTTGCAGCTGACATTTCGGAGGAGGCATTGCCTTGCTTAGATTCTGGGTTAGCAGTCGTTGGCCGAGCAGCCACCGACCGCCTCCTATCTACAGATTGGGATCTCTTGGGCCCGGCGAATGGGGGGAAAGCAGCGGGTGAGCCGGAATTAGTAGCGCGCGAAAGAAGAGGGGAAGCGAATCTTCTGGGCAAAGTGGAAGAAGAAGAAGAAGAGGAAGAACTCGTCGTGGTAGTGGTTGTGGTAGTAGTAGTAGTGGTGGTCGTCGAAGTTGTGGAAGTAGAAGTGGAAGGAGAAGGGGATAGGTACCTAGAAGGAACTTGCTTGCCTCTTGGTTTTCGAGCTCCACCGCCAATGCCACGGCCGTTGGGCTGCTTCTCGGAAGGGAGGAGAGGCGGCCTTGCCGGATTAGGGATTTTGTCAATGTCAGCAGCAGCGGTGGCGGCGGCGGCGGCGGACGGAAGAGCTGCTTGAGGATTAATGGCAGCAACCATTATGCGCGAGGCGGAAATAAAAAAGAAAAAGAAATCTGGAAGGGCGAGTGAGGGGCTATTAGACCCTCACATTGCCTCTTGGGGAAGACGAGAAGCAAATCAAGGAAAGAAATCGATGTGGGTTTCTCTCAGATTAAACCCTCCCTTGCTCGCTCACAAGAACGAGCTTCAAAATCTTGATGGGGAACAGTAGCCCCATAGCGGAGGTAAAATGGACAAGAACGAAGGAAAGGAATCCCCTTGCGAACTTCCTAACCCTAGAAATGGGACAATGGGGAAGGAAGGGAAAGCTTTAAGGAGCTGGGGAAGAAAGAAAGAGTGGGAAGAGAACGGGAGCACAAATGCAGCAAATTGTTTTCACTGTGAAATTGCAGTAGCAGAAAAGGGGAAATGAAGGGAAGAGAGAGAAAAAAACCAAAAAAGGGAGAAGAGTAGGTGAGAGAGAGAGAGAGAGAGAGAGAGGAAGTGAGCTTTGTGGAGTGAGGGAGTGAGTGTGTCTATGTCGCGGGAGGTTTGGGTTTTTGGCAGTCAGATTTTAATCTTTACAGTTGGAGTAAAAAGTAATGGAGGTCGATTATCATGTATAAATGCATCTTCATTTTTTTTTTTTGTACAAGATAAGAAAGTGCTTCAAATGATCACCTAAGGTTATACAACAAGGTTGACAATAGGTCAAAAACGGTAATTCAACCATTTCAAAATTAATTAAGGGCACATAACGAGCTACCCATTTCGTTTTTTACATTTATTTTGGAGGGTTAAAAACAATATAATAACCAAATTTTTTATATCCCGCAAAACAGTAGACTAACATATTGAAAAAACGAAAGCAAAATCGAATTTCTGTTAATATTAATGGTGTAGTCACGGAAGTACATGTAAGCAAAATATGTAGGTCCACAAAACTGAAAATTTAGAGTCACGTAAATTAAAAACTTTTTAATCTTTTTGGCTTATGATTACAAAATTAGAAACTAAAAGAAGAGTAAGATAATTTCTTCTTCTTGTTTTCCCAAGGTCCATGTACTAATGAGTTTGGTGGACACTAATATACATGGGTCTCTTCCCTTCTATTTTTGATCTGATACTTGAATTGTCCCATAGTAATCTCTTCAAGATAAGGACCACATACTTTGTGTCCTCCCCTCAACAACTATCTTGATCTGCATACACCTTGTATTGACAAGCTCTTCCACATAAGGATTTACAAAATCTTTTTTATTAGCCAGAAAAATGCATATATCAAATGTCGAGGTCTTCGAATGAGGGTCCACCGAACTAACTTCCACCATCCCGAATTGAATCCGAACCAGGCTCAATACCACTTGCTGAAAACGGATAACTCTATTCAATGCAGTCAAAATCACGCTCTAAAACTTAAAATCTTAAGGTTTTACATTTCTCGGTCACCAAAACGCTTCTACGTAGAATCGCTTTTTACTTACAAGTGTAGTCAAAATCTACGCTTTAAAACTTAAAAGCTTAAGTTTTTATGTTTTTACTTCACCAAGGTGCTTCCACATAGAATCACAATATTTTGACTGCATTGGCTCCATTAGAACGATATTATCGACTTTGGGCCAAGTCCGCATGGATTTTCTCTAGCGTTCCTTCCCAAAATGCATCGTACTAATTGGGCTAGGTGGACACTAATATACAAAAGTTATTCCTCTTGCATCTCTGATGGAGTACTTGGATGATCTCATAACAATGATTTAAAAAGGAGAGCTCTTGCTTCCAAAACACTAACTACATCGATTCAACTTCTTTTTGGCATGCATTGAAGCGATAGAGAAGGTGGGTTAGTGATTTTCTGAGGGTGCATCAACTACCCAACACTTATATATAAATGGTGACGTCTTCAGTGCACTCACTTTTTTTGTGTATTCAATGCATCCGCCTCATAATCGTCATTCCGAGCATGCAATTCTTGTCAAAACGGTGTCAATTGTTGAGTATGATATATTATGAACAAGAAACACATGAATTTGTACAAAAATCATTTAAGATTTACTTTAATTTGAAGGATTTAGGGTTTAGGTTTACAATTTGGGATTTTGGTTTGGGATTCAAAATTGAAGGTTAGGGGTTAGGGTAATGGATTAGTTGTGATTCTATGTTATGTCATCATATTATACTAATGTTACAAATTAAAGTTCAAAATTCGATATATTATGACCACTTTTAGAGTTGGGTGCACGGAATGCACGAAAAAAAGTGAGTGCACCGAAGTAGCCATACCTTGAGTAAGATCTAAGGTACGACATACCTTGAGTAAGAAAGCACTATCTAGATCTCGAATTAACCGGATTTTTGGGCATGATACTATACCCCAACCCTTTATGTGTGAACCCTAGGTCTTAGTTATCTTAATCATAGAGCCTAACCCCGAAGATTATGCATGTAATTTGTTGCATATATTGTGACGTATCATGACCGTCAATTTTTGTTTTTAATTAAATTCATCTTAGTGTATGAGATTTGTAAAATTAAGACCTAGATTCTGATCTTTAAGGGTGTGGGAATAAGATTAGAGGCCAAACTCTAGTCAATTCAAGGTCTAGATATCATTTTCTTACTCAAGGTATGTCATACCTTTGATTTAACCCAAGGTATAATAGAACCATCCATATATGTGATGTACAATAAAGCACATGAATTTGCACAAAAACCATTCAAGATTTACTTTAATTTGAAGGATTTAGAGTTTAGAGATTTAGGGTTAGAGTTTACAATTTGGGGTTTAGTGATAGAATTCAAAGTTGGAGGTCTAGGGCTTAGGGTAATCCGTTAATTAGTTGTTATCATATGTTATATCATCATATTACACTAATTCTACAAATTAAAATTCAAAATCCGACACCTTAAGACTAGTTTTTGAGTTGGGTGCATTGAAGTGATTGAACACACTCATTTTTATGAGTGCACCGAAGTAGACATCATATATATATATTATTTTATGATTATACTATGGACTGTTTTTTTTTTCAGGTGACTTCCAAGCATTGCTTCACACTAAACACGTTTAACTTCATAGTTCTTACAAAAACTATTCATTTAACCAAAAAATGCACCATGTCATTTCACTAAAAAAAAACTTCCTTTGGGAGTCAACGTCCTCGTTCAAGAGGGATGCGGAGGGCTCTGAAAACACTGATTTGATTTGTTTTCTTTGAGCCTACTGTCGCACGGTTTTGATTTTAGGTGTATCATGGTGAATTGTGGGAGGTCATCCATCTTTGTACTGCACCACACTCAACACGTTTAACTTCAGACTTCTTACAAAAATTTCTCAATTTTACTGCAAAACACGTATTGTCGGTTAAAATTATATTGTTCCTTATGAATTATAGATCTCTTTCGTTGTTTGTCGATTTGATATTTGTCTGAGCTGACACATTAAGCAAGTTTTTTTTTTTTCTTATTTTATTTCCGTGTGTTGACTTCGTGGCCGGTCTTAGCCTGCTCGTTGAACTCTCTTATTCTTTTCTTTCTACTTCTTCTCCATTCTTTAGGTTAGAGTAGTTGCACATTAATCAATATTCATACCAGTTAATGCAAGTATATAAGCTTAATTGCTATAACTTGCTTACGATTTAGCGCTCATATTAGGAGAAGTTAATCATGAGCAATCACTCTTGTAAGAAAGAAAAATCTGGAGTGATCTTTCACTGATATGTTGCTTTCAGAGAAAAGTTCCCAGTTTGTTAAGCTATGAAAACAAAAGAAATAAATAAACAAAGAAGGAAGGATGGAAGACAAAGCAAAAAGTGATGTGAAGGCAGGCATGTGACTTGGGTTATACTCAAAAGCTAAGCAAGTAGTTTGAAAGTAAAACACACACCCAAACCCATTTTGGGATGCAACAAGGTGGAATTTTATAATGTTGGTATTTTTGTATATAATATGAATTTAATTTTTATTGTTATCGTTATGACACAATACCAGTTTGTACTTATACTTTTATGTACAAATTTTTTTCATGGTACAAACCGAATTTACATCGTTAATGTTATGATAGAACTGAATTTGTACCGATCGTAAAGTCATGACACAAATTCAATACCCATACAATTTTTCATGATAGAACTAAATACCGGATAAAACAATGCATTCGGTCTGTTTTGGTCCGGTCCAAATGTCAATTCAATCTATTTTTTTTAGTATTTAGAAAATTCATGGTGATCAAAGATGGGATCATATTATATTCGATTTAATGCAATCCGATCCAAACATCAGTTTGATCTGCTGCGATCCGATACGAACCAACTCGTTGCGCACCCTTACACGCCAGGATAGGATGGGGTATGAAAGAAGGTCTCATGCTTCCCCCACATAGCTAGCTAGCTAGCAAAACAGGTAATAGTTAATTGAGTTAAAAGGTCAGGTTCAAAGTGTCATCCTATTGGTATAGTTTATTGAGAGCTATATATATGTGCATGAACCTCTTTTAAACTTCAGTTTTCAAGTCTTTTTTTTACTGTTATTGGTTGAGAGATAGCTTTCAGGGCTTTCTTAGAATGAGTGGTTCTGGGCTTAAGAAATGATATCATTCTTCCCACATTTGCACTAAATGTGTAAATTAATACACACATGTAATATGTGCTACTAATGTGAATTTTGTGAATGGGTGACCAACAAGTTAACTGGGGCTGGGGCTTTTGCTTGGCTTAGAGATTGGAACACTCCCTAAAATTATTATATCAGTTCTTTCTTCTTTTCATTGATTTCACTTTCCCACTGTCTTCTTTTTACTGTGCAATCAGTGAACAGTGCGTGTTAAGAACCTTAGCACATGTGACATTGGTCAAAAGATTTTAGCTCCTTGCGTTGTTTTTTTTTTTAAAGAAGCTCCTTCGTTGTAGGAGAAAAGAGAAAAAAGAAAAGTTTATTCTAGGTAAAGTAATACTGATGGGTTCGGTTTCGGTTAATCACTAACTGATTGGGTTAAAACCATGAAAGAAAAATTACATAAAACATCGTACTAATAAGATTTATTAGTTACCCGCGTGTTATAATTTGGTTGGCGATTAGTTTGACGGTTAATCAATAACAATCTCCAGTACACATGTGGATATTTTTCATTTGTTATTTGAAATTTTGTATGATGTCCTTTCTAATACTAAAATATAATCATACAAATAATTCAAAATAATTTAAATTCATCATAAACTAATTATTATTATTATTATAAATAACATCAATACAATCCAACGGTGAGTTCATAATTAAAATTCTAACACATACACAATTACAAACAATTAAAATTCTTCATACCAACTTGAAAGATATCAAACACAAGCACCACAAAATCACCATCATTCACAAACATCAAATGAAAAAAATGACTGCTAGGTTGTGAGTTAGATTTGTCGACTACTGCAAATGGGAGTCAGAGAGGGATAACATTTGGGTTCTGACTCTTAAACATTTTTTAGACTTTGGGTGGATGGTTGTATGCAATAGGTGTGAATTATGATGTTTGTAATTGCGACTTTGGTTTGTTTAAATCTTTAGAATTTTTCCTTCAATTAGTTAAAATTTAAAATTAAGTGATTATACTAGTAGGAGTTATCGATTAACCACTAAGCAAAATGCCGCTAATTAAAATTCACCTGCTAAAATTTACCATGCATATCCCTTTTTATTATTATGAAGTGACAAGAAAAAATCAATATTAGGGGTAAAGATGTTTGGTGGGGGATGGGAAAACAAAAATTGGAAAGGAATTATAATATAAAAAAATTGGCAGCATGGTAGCTTGAGGGGGAAGTAATGGATTTTGTAGTGAGAGTTAAGTTGGTGAAATGGATTTTATTAGTGGCCACAGACAGCTGCAGTTGCTCTTCTTTGTTAACTTAAGAAATAGTTTTCATTGCTGAGAAGGGGAGGGGAGTAGTGGACTTAAGAAATTGATTTAAGAATTAGGAGATGTAATGAGGTTGAAGAAAGCATCAACTCAACAGTAGGGTTGGTTAAGCTTTTCTGGTAGAGTGGCTAATCCTATTCCTTTGTTGTCATGTCAGAATATTAATTACTTCCCTAGGTCACTCTAATATTGAAAGCAAACTCATGCCTACTTCATCTTAATTAAGAGATACCAAATTTAATAGTGACCAATCCAATTCACTCATAATTTCTAGTCATTTTCCATTCAATTTGTTTCTCGAGAGGAACCTAAGGGTAGGGGTGGGCATTGGGTGGGTCGGGTGGATTTTGACCATAAAATGCACTCATCCGCGCTTAAACGGATTGATAATTTTTAACCCACCACCCACCCACATTTAGTCTCGGGTTGGGTCGGGCGGATGGTGGATGATTTGGGTGGGTTTGTGGGTTCACCCACATCACAATGTATATAATATAAAGGAGTCAACTTGACATGATAATAGGTGAAGAGAGTTATCTGGGGAAACAAGAAGATGAAATAGGGCGAAAAATATCGAATTAGTTCTTAAAATGGATAGAAATTCTATTATGAAAGAGTTTTCTACGGATTGAGATGATTATCAGGTGCAAGGAACTAAGAAAAATAATTTCACAAAGGAAAAAGCAGTGATCTAGGCACAAGAATTAGAGGGAAAAATAAAGGGAAGAAGAGGGGATCGCTATTTGGAAGGTTGGCTTTGAGGTTCAAACTCCAGGAGCAGTCCTAGTTTATGTCTAACATCTCCACTCTCCCCTCTCTAGCGCCGACGACTTTGATCTTTTTGTTGTTGGGTTGAGCGGGTCACCCGCGCATCCACCCACAACCCACCCACCACCCGGCGGATGGCTCCCAGCACAACCCGTCACCCATCCATAGACCCACCCACTTAACGAAATTCGGGTCAAATGCGGGTGGGTCGGCCCAAACCCGCGGATGATCCGCCCGCATGCCCAGCCCTACCTAAGGGTGGGAAACAGAGCGGTTTCAGTTAACCGAGCCGAATAACGCAGTTAACTGCAACCGAATAAGGACGAAATCAAGACGATGAAAACAAAAACCAAAAACATGATTTGGTGGAGAGGTCGTCGCCCTCCAAGATGGAAAACATAGTGGGTAAGATTGAACTCACGATGAAAGAGGGCTTCTCGTGGTTGGTCCCATCGACATGAAACATTTCTTACTGGATTGGGCCAAATATTCTATAGTTTAGCATAATAGGCGGTTAGTTATTCGGTTATCTCTTTATTCGGTGCGGTTTGTGGTTATTCCACAAATCGCAAAATGGCCTATCCTACTAACCGTGATTGAATCAGATCTCACTTAAGCGGTTAGCGATTAACCACAAACTGCAGTTCTTCGGTGTTGTTTCGGTTTAACCGCAAAATCGCAATCGTTTTCCCACCCCTACAGGAACCTATTTTAGATTATGGATCCAATCTAAAATTTCAGTTAACTGAGTTTAAGACCGTAACTACTTCCCCCTGCTAAGTTAATTGCTCGGATATTTTTCGGTAGGAAACACGACGCTTAAAAACTGTCCTGACCTTTATGAATTAACGAAATTGGGGAACTCATCCCGAGTTTATTAAAGTACAACTACTATCCAAGGGAGTCTACTCCTAGTCCTAGATAGGAATTTAATAGTGACCAACCCTACTGACTCCTTAATTTCTGGTAATTTTACATCCGAAGTCTTAACCATGTCGACTGATTATTTTATTTGCCAGATCTTTTTTAGTAAGAAACAAAACGTTTAAAGATCGCCTCAACCTTTACATAGCGATGAATGTGGGAATCTCGACCCCAAGTTAAGGAAAGTACAGCGGGGATTCAAGAAACTTACATTTGCACTTTGTCATTTGTTTTTGCTGGTCCTTAGACATTTGCACTTTGTCTTCCTCTGGGAACTCATAATTAAGGGTACAAGTTAATGACTAGAAGCCAATGCCTGAGCTTCGGAATGGCCAAAATATGCAACCCCCAAAAGAGCCCATAATAGTTCCACTTTTCACTTGGCTTCTCGCAAACAAATAATGAAACAAGAATAAGAATTTCCAGAATCCAGAGCTTCTCCCAATGGCCAATTCCCTTCTTCCCTGCATCCAAAGTTATTGGGTGCGCTGTTCAGGACAAGACAAACAGTTGAACAAAAAAGATTATAAAAGAAGGAAAAAAATAGAGCAGATTAAACAGAGGAAGATGGGGACAACATTGGACTTGAGAATTCCAATGGTTATAAGAACACTGTATCTCCCAATTCTCATATTTTAGTGGTATTCGAGATATTTTACTCGATATAGTTACTTAGTTGTTGGTTCAAACTCCCAAATCTAAGCAAACAAATTATAGTTGAGCTCCTTGCTTCTCTCATAGTACAATCCTCTTCTCGTTGAGAATATTTATCTATTAATATAAGAGAATTGTGATCTCAAACCCCCCTCCCCCTAAAAAATATTGTGGTAGTGAATGGAGGCGTCAGTTTTGCTATTGTGACTACAGGGTGTCTGTGAGTAACGTGCTCACAACTAGACGTAATAATAGAATTACACGTTAAATGTCTCACAGTCGTCGAATGGATGCGGTGACATTTTGTTAAAACATGTCATCGGGTCTATTCGACAGATTCAGACCACCTAGACGTAATTCGACATTCATGGGGTGTTGTGAGCACGTTCGCATACGAACGCCCTGTGAGCCAGGTTGTGAACAAAGAGTTATGTTTTTGAGTGATGATCGCAAGAAAGAAAGAAAAAGAATGCAGCTAGCCTGCTGCTTCCAGCTCGGACAGATGAAAAGCAACTGTACATCATATAGAACTATAACTACATAGTACAATGATTGCCCCCCAGAAAGTGTCCTACAAAATATTTGCATGCCCAGCTTCAACATTACCACTTCCATTCTTTCATTTGCATTTGCCCCATCTGTCTGTCTATCTGTGACTTGGGTTGGTTGCTTCAATGGCTGCTGGTCCTAACATTTTGTGTGCTGCTCCACATACCTTGCAAATCATAACTAGCATGGTAAGGAATCCTTTTCTTCCATTCTTTCTTTCTCTCTTTCCATCCTTTCCCCACTATGTAGTAAAGAAAGAATGGTCCCAACACAACTCATAAGCTAACTGAGTGAAGAAAAAAAAGTATTCCAATGATGGAAAACTAGCTGGAAGGATAATAAAGTGAGTGAGCGAGTGGTGTGGTGCGGCTCTTTCTCACATCACATGGCAATGGGAACCAGAATGCCCCTTTCATCTTTAAACCAAGTATCCTAAAATCTTACATAGGAGGTTATACCGAAAAAGTTAGTATTTTTAGAGCATTTTGTACTAAAGTTGTGTTTTAACTATGGTTCATCATTAAAAACGCGTATCTTTCTTGGGTCCGATACCCGGTATTTCTTATTCCAACCGGCCGGTACGATTTCTACAACATTTGCATTTTAAAACAGAAGAGGAGCCTTGCCCAAAAACAAAATCAGAACGTAAAAATAACCTGTTACAGTAGGTCAAACAATGAATAGCCAAATTGTAGTAATTAGTAACATACATAGTTGGTTTTGGATCAAAATCAAGTTTGTATATGACCACTCCGACTGATTCCTCTTCCCTCAAAACATGTCTATACAGGGCCGGGGAGAAGGGTAGCCAGAGCTATGCATATGTTACAGCATTCGAACATAGAATAAAGATGTGATAATTACACTGACAAAACCTTTTCGTCGTTATCCTCCTCCAAACCTCGTGCATCTGCTGTTATTCGACATCATCCTCTCCCATCGTCGGGTTCCTAGCCCCAGTCTGGTTGGGGTTCTCAGCGGCATATACTTGACCTCCCTGATGATGATCTCTCACGTCTCTAAACATCGAGAGAAGAGTGTTGAGGCCTTCATAGGAAGCCCCTCCCAAGATCCACAGCAACAGAGAGCTAAACGAATTCATCGACCCAACATTCGCGCCAGTGTCGCCTTGACTTGGAACATTCCCAGCAGTTGTAGGCGCTCCAGTGGCTGCCGGCGGCATGGGCTGGTCTGTGTTTGCTGCTGCTGGTCCTTGCGGAGGAGGGGTCCTGGCGTTGAATCTTGTAGTAATGTGTAGCGTTGATGCAAATATGGTCGAAGAGGTGATGTGGAAGTCGGGATGCTGCTGAAGCTGAGTTCTTCGGTTCTGCATAAACCTCTGTAGAGCTGGTACCTATAAATTGTGCAAATAAGAAGACCAAGGCCATTTATAAGAAAATTATGGACAAGCAGGTGGATCACGAGCCATGTCCTAATTGGAAATCTTGTGATAGTAAAGAAGTGCAGTGACCAACATCTATATCTTTTGGATGCCGCTTGGTTGGCTGTAAGATTTGGGGAGTGATATTGTCCATAACTTGTAACTGAACAAAAATATCTGGTTTTCATTCGACACTTTTTGATGCATAATAACACATCTAGCGGTATTGCGTCAACATGATCCAAATTCCAATCTTAAATACATGGGATAGGAAGTATTTGAAAATGCAATGAACAAATTTCATGTACAAATACACTGAACCAAGCAATGTATTCGCAAAAATACCTTGCATGATAGCATGCGGTCGATGCTGCTGCGACAGAAGCTATTGCATTGTTTGCATTAATGATAGCATGTCTATTCTTATTTGCATCCTAAGCTATCTTTTTCTTTTATGTACAATCAGTTTGGTTTCCAGAGAGAAAGAAGAACAGAGGCTAGTCCCCAAAAATGTTCAGTGGAGAAGTTGGGGGTTCGAGGTTGTTATAGTTAAACCCCAAGTACATGCATCAAATGAGGTTGAGCAAAACCCAAGTCATACAGAAAAGAAAAAAAGAAGATAGGACAAGAAAGGTAAAGCAACTTGCTCAAGCACAAAATCAGTAAGGCAGTGAGATTGAAGAATAAGAAGCCAAACATGCATCTGCACGTACATAAAACCAAACAAGCCCAGATTTTATGACTTTGGAACGTATCCCTAATAGAACGTAAAGGTTCAACTAGATACGCTGAGCGCATTTAAAGAAGATGAGCAAACGTTACCTCAAAGCGATTCCAAAAGTACAGGATCAAGTGCTGCATGAATGCTGCCGTTGTAGACAAAGCCAAATACGAAAAACCTGAAAAGTACCACAGTGCAGTATACTCATATTAGGGTTTAATATCTAAAGAAAGGATACTCGATGCGATGAGAAGGGAGGTCCATACCATATGTATAGGAGAAGAAATAGATGTGGAAGACCAGAAAATAGAGCAAGAAAAAGCGAGGGAAGAACTTCATTGATAGAGGCGTGCGGACACTGCAAAAGATCAAGGACCATAACTTGTCATTTGACATGCAAGAATCTCTAAATGATTAGTAAAATACTATTCACTAGCCCGTTGCCAGCTTAAGCTTTTTACACAGTTGAAGATCCCAGATTGATGGAAGCAGGATTGAATATTTGAGGAAAAAGAAACATTTGGCTTCACAATGCAATCATGATTACAACATTTGCTAAGTGGCAGGAATATATAATAAAATAAAAATAAGAAGGGCCTTTTATTCTTGAAGACCTTATCAGTGTGAAGAGTTCACACAACCAAACAAGAATCAAGACCATGAAAGCCAATAGTTGATCATCATAGAACTCAAACAGGAAAAACAGGATGCCAATCATTATCTGCAAAAAACAAAAGGTAGAGTAAAATGGTTTATTACTAGCTGAATAGGGGGAAAAATAAACAAATAGAAGTAGTCTACAGGAACCACCAAGCCAACAAGCAGCTTAATAGCTTATCGATATCATATGACTATTGATGTACGTAATATAGCTTCTATGATAATAACTTAATCAACCATCATGTGTGCTCACCGGTACAAAGACAAGGGACTCGATTACATGGACAAAGATCAACTGAAATGTTGGCAATCGATGTCGAGCATGGTGTTGAAGCTGCACTGAATAATTCAAAAAAATAAAAGTTAGAAAGATAAAGTGACAGTAAAGTGAACCATATTCTAATGCGAAAGGAAGGAAACATGGGAACACTGACATCTGAAGGAGTACCAAGTTCACCGAGTAACCAACAAATAGGGCACGTACTATATGGATGTAGGAAGATAGCAATATGTTGGCTAGATTCAGAAGGAATAACGAACCTGTAAATCTCAACATCCGTGTCTGTGTCTCTCTCAATGTGAAGGATACAGACATTGTTGTCGTAAAGAACACAAACAGCGACATCATAAGCACGCCACACTTGGTGACTAGATAGTCTACAAGCAGAAACAAAGATCAATAATTGTTTCCTCAACAAAAAAAAAAAAAAAAAAAAGGGCATGACTTATGATCAAGAACAATCCGAACAGTTAAACATGTCTAGTAAGATTGGTGAAGCACGACCAAAATGCATCATGGAAAGAGCTACTGTATCTGCAACTGAGACATAAAAAAATCACATGCCTAAACCGTTTTTCTTTTCCAATGACATAGAAGAAGAAACAGACAAAATGTATCAGAGACAAGTTGTAAACTGCCAGTCTAGTTGGCCAGGACAATGCTGTAGAGGTCTGTATTTATATTTTCACCTCAAAACTTTCATTCGTCACATATCCATCTATCAAAGCAATTTATGAGGTATTGATTTACATTCTGTTTCGTTCCAGCATAAAACAATACATACCAAAGCCAACTATGTGAAGTTTTGAAGTTAGCAATCCATTACTGGAATCTAAAAATGATTTAGGCTTCACAAGTATGCATATACTTTGCTTCTTAAAGTAGACATCTAATACGAAGCATGTTCAGATAATGTACATATATAGCAAGACAATATTAGTTACCCCCACCACAACCTTGTATAACAAAACCTACAGAAGGCATGTGCCAATACCTCCAAACTTTGCCGGCCCTTCAGGTAGTTCTTGAGCATAGCTGAGATTGTAAAATTCATTTGTCTGAAAATTATAAAGGTAACCTACAACAAAGCCGCAAAATCTAATCAGACCAAAAACTACCTGATTATAAAACACCATAGATATGCGCCAATACTTAAATCTTAAAATTCAGATTACACCTTACATTACATTTCAAGATTTAGAAAATGAGAAATATATGTAAAAAAGCATCTCTTCCAAGCAATGGTCAAGTTTAAAGGAAACATATGAAATGAAAAACCACACTGATGTGCTACCACACTCAAACAAACTACATTGTCTCAACAAGAAATATTTGTATCAAGGATGAGTGATTACCATGCCCCGGCGAGCTAAGTATGCTATTCATCAATATGGTATCATATCCAACCACTCTATTTATCAGAAGTTGTTGCCACCTGGAAAATCATTTGAACAAACAATAATTAGTGCAGGTTGCTAGCATCCGACACAAGCTATCCGAGAAGGATGGTTAAAAGTAGAAATAAAGACCGTTAGACATAATGGAATAAGACAACCTTTGAGCTATTGCTCGTCAACTTATTATCAAATCATATGCCACACAAAACTCAACCAACACCATAGAACACCTACCAAGTAGAACACCAGCAGAAAAATAATGAGCTGAGTGAAACAGTGATATCATGGCCTTTTTATCAGAGCTTAAAAAAAATTGGCCAAAGAAACACTAATTTCTCCTAAAGACTAAGTTTATCAAAAGACCATACCAAAAAGATCGCAAAGTTCTAGAGAATCGAAGAGAAATTGTCAAGATTCAGAAATAGTAGAGACTAACAGGAATGGCAACCAAATACATGTCACAAACAAATTGATAGCGTCTATATAAGTCAGATTGATGCACCAACTAATCAGTTTCAAAGGGGAGACTAACAGGAATGGCAACCGAATACATGTCACAAACAATTTGATAGCGTCTATATAATTCAGATTGATGCACCAACTAATCAGTTTCAAAGGGGCACTTAAAACAGCCTTCCCATCCTAAGCCACAGACCTGTTCCCTAAACAAGGATGCCAAGCTGATATGGATATGTTGACTGTTCGTATGTTATGCTGCAGCCTGGCCTCTTCAGGTAGCAAGAAATAACCCTGCCAATAGCCATGGAATTCAAAATTAGGTAATTAAACTAGAGAGCTTCAAACACCCCTGAAGCGTTTGGAAAAGCAATTCAGTCTCTACCATGCTATCCTTGAAGGACCAGAACGTTGATCTCAAGAACATCAGAAATAAAATTGTGTCTACCTTTTCCATGGTGTACAGATAGGTCGGCTCAAAAGCTTTGCTTTTCTTCTCAAGCCACTGCACTGAAATATATAAGATGGTGGGATCATGTTAATTACTTAATTTTAGGAAACACTAACAAAAACAAAAAACAAACATTTTCCGAAATGATCTTTCATCAATTCCATGTGTCACCTTTACCAGACTTTAAAAACACATACTATTGGAATCAGATTTAGACTGACAAGGTGCATCTATTGGGTACACAGTATAGAGGCCACCACAGCAAAAATGTAACGCGAAAATGTTATTGGAGGTATTCGATTAAATAACTAATGGCCTTCCAAGACAAGTGTGGAGCTTGCAGAAATCTTAAGAGATTGGAATCACCCAGTTTCTTCTTTAAAGATAGCACATTTTGTGCTCAAACCTTGACGAAGCAAAAGAGACTACATCGTCTACAAACTCAAAATAAAGAATATAAACAAATATTTCTAGAAGCTCCAAGGATGTAAAGGTTTAAGACTGTTATAGAAGAGGCAAAAGAGACTACATCGTCAATAACCTCAAAATAAAGAATATAAAAAATATTTCAAGAATGGGAGGATACAATCATGGAAGCTTGGATCATTAATTATTAAGGAAACCATGGAGTAGCAATTTACCTGCATGTGTATTAGCCCGGTCCAAATGAAGTATTCTTAACCACTTGGGAACGTCAAGATTCAAAGAGATGCCCGTAATATTCTGCACTAAAAATTTCAAATCATCGAACACATACTTAATAATATGATTAAAGAAACAAAACAGAATGAAGCAAGGCATGCATATGGCAATTACATTTTCTATTTATGACCAGAGAATATAGCTATTTCACAAGGAGTAATATCTGTCAACTATGCATGAATAGAATTGTCAAATTTGGTTGAAACAGTGTGCCCAAGAGTGGACAATCCTTGAATGTGCATGAAAAGACTCAACAAATTCTTTCAACATAAGCTTCGCCCAAGGTTCGAAATCCCTCTAGAAAGGAATGAGCAAGGGAAACTAAGGGGGAAACGAAGGAAGTTTATTCGCTAGTGTACTTACCCATAGCTTTTGGAAACTGTGTGCTACTTGCAATATTTGTCTCCAAATGAATAATAGACGCCTGTGCCACTTATTGCTGAAATGAGTGATAGCTACTTTAAAATTTTCCTTGGCTGACATAGAAAAACTGCTGCGAATCTCAGGTTTCTCGGTTGCAGTAACACTATCATCAACCATTGGTTTCGAGCTTTCAGTGGTGTCATGCTGATGTTCAATAAGTTCATTATCAGTCCGCCAGAACTTCAAAGTCAATTTTCCCTTCCTAGTACTGAAACCAATCCAGTTAAACCAAACCTTCGAAGCCAGCAATGTAAAGTCATCTGCACCAACATTTGGCAGTTCCAGTTTATCTGCTACAACATTCAAATCAGGAACTTCTGGGATGCTGTATTCTGATTCGTTGTGTAGCCAAAGTCCTGCACTAGATATCTTCATCAAGAACTGAAAGTCAGCATCAGACACAAAATGTAGCCTTATGAATGCAGAAAAGCTAAATCGAGACAACACCGCTGGAATATTGCACAGGATAAAATACATTGTATTTGTATCTGGAAACTAAATCAAGATGTTAAACACAATCAGCGCAAGCGCCAATATAAAATATAAAATCATTTAACCATAATTCCCATTATTGCTATTGAAGTATTGATGCCAAATATACAATAGTGTCTGTCCTTAACCATAGCAAGTTAAATGCCTAGCTAACCATCATCAGCAAATCTCAAAATGAATATATATTAACTTGTTTAATGGAAGTTGAATAAAGAAAAATATTGATTCAAGGCAATGAATCATAAACAAGGAATTCAAATCAACTATAATTCTGAAACATATGCGATTTCAATTATAAAAAAAATATTATTTCAAGGGCCAGAGACCTCAAAACAGACAGGGAAGAGTGTAAAGGATTTTGGAAAGCAATCAGGATCAATTTACAGGAGAAGACAGAATGAAAGCACATACCTTTATGTGAATAAGTTGGGCATCCAAAGCTTCAACTCCAGGAAGCTCACTTGAACATCCCGGCTGCACATGCAAAAAGGACAAGCATTTTCATCAAAAAGAGCACGCAGCATTTTTCCCCCCCCTTTTGTTGATGAATCTCCAAGGATGGCATCAACACCCAACCACTAAAAAGAAAAGCTGGTGAAGCTGATCAAGTACAAGCGCATTACTTCATTTACTCGATTCAAATTTTACTCAATGTTGTACCAAGAACCACAGTCACGCACCACCTTAGCTCGTACCAAGTGATATTGAAAACAGAAAAGAAAGGCAGACACAACCCAACAACATCATACATATCTCACAGCAAACAGTAGCACAACATATGATCTAGCCAAATTCAGACCACAAAAGTAGACCCTAGACTGAAGCTATGAACAATTCGAGGATGTACCTGTTGAACATAATTGGCGTGCATGACTACGAGAATGCTGAAGAGAGTAACAGCGATAAACAAATAGACATACTCCAAAGTAGCCCTCACTTTGGCGGTCAACACCTGCGAAAACCGCTCTTGCAATCTTATAAACGTCTGTTCCGGATCCATTCTCCCTTCACTCTTAAACCGCGAATTGAACGGAAGCTAGGGCAGCAAAATCGCCGCCTTGCAGCTTGCCCGACTGATTCCAATTATCTGACCGTAGCGGCGAGCTCCGATGACTGAAGCCTGGAAAAAACTCAGTCCCTTCCGACTCCACCCGAAGTTGATTGGGTCCCGCTCGCCCTTCGTGATACAGCAGAGAGGGATGAGAAACGCCCAAATCCAAGGGTGTAAGCTTTAGGGAAAGCTGAAGGGCGTCGTGGTTTATTTATGCTCGCGGCCGGAATAGCTGCTTCTTGCCCCGTCTTCTCGCCGGTAGTCGGCCATGGAAGAGGAAAGTTTAGTCTAGAGTTGGATTTGAATTGGAGGAGCTTTCTGCCGTAGGGGAGAGGGAAAGAAAGTCGACGGACGGTAAGAAACGAGAAGGGAGAACCATTACGCTGCCGTCTTGACGGACGGACGTTGACCAATGGGATGGAATTGTATGAGACTATGTCACTATGAGGTATATTGTCAAACCGGTTTATGCTAATATGCCACTTGTCTACAAGTGGAATGATACAACAAGTGGTATAATTGAGTTTTGTCGGTTTTAATAAAATAAACGAGAAAAATAAAAATCATAAATATCAAATAGGCAAATAAATTTGTTAGAAATAAGCAATTAAACGTGTTAATTCGCACAAAATAATTTATGGTTAGGAATTAACTAATAGTAAACAATTAAATACATAAAAGTAAAAGTATAAAAAATGAATTTTATTAATGTTTACAATGATTTATGTAAAATGTAGCATTATTTATATAATATATAAGGTTAATATGGCTCTAACGAGAAAACATGGAAGGAAAACCCTAGTACTCCGCATTACGCGAAGGCAATTTGTGAGAAAAGCTTCTTCTAACGCGATGACAGTGCTGCCATCAACATTCGTAACAGCCTCGACTGAGAAGCCGCTGGGTACAAGCGGATGTCGCAAGTTGGCCACAGTATCCTCCTCGCCGGATGGTAAAAGTGAAGGAGACTCTGCAACAACAACAAAAACGTGTTAGGACTATGAATCCGGAACATGCAAGGTTGGCTTGGATGGTATGAATTCTGAGATGGAACTGAGAAGGAGATAAGCCGGCAGGGAGCTCACCGTCGGATGATCTGAAACCCTAGGTTGGAAGAGTGAACCTTTAAAACTCTTTTAGAATCTGGTGGAGGAGGAGAGTTGGTATGTAGTTGGCTCGGATTCTGGAGATGTTGCGACACAAGAACGTGAAGCAGATTATATTCTTATGGAGGAGGAGAATGGTCAGAAGTGTCTGACGATCTTGTTCACAACGGCTGAGAAAAATCCTTTGGAGAAGCTGGTGGAAGTCTATGTTAGTTGTGAAGGGACTTGGAAGAAGGGTTTCCTACCTTGCGTTAGGTTGGTGCCTGAACTATCTCTAGGCTAGGCATGGAGAAATCCAAATCTCATATATGAAGAACGAGTGTTTATTGGTGAGATTCAAACACCGGCTGAACTATGAGTTGGCCTCTTCCGGAGGCCTGTGGCTACTGGGAGACACATACCTTACAGTCCACCATTGGTTTAAGGGTTTTAATCCTTGGACAATGAAAATTAAATCCACAATATTGTGGGTTCAACTACCTGATCTACCGATGGATTTATTTGAATAATGAGGTGGTGATTAAGATAGGGGAAGGAATTAGGAAGCTGATACGTGTGGATAGGGCCACGGAATGGGGAGCCCGAGCGAAATTCATGAAGGTATGTGTGGAAGTTGATCTGACACGACCACTCTTGCCTAAATACAAGATAGAAGGGGGTGACGTACCTGATACAATATGAAGGTTTAAATAACACATGTGGGGAATGTGGCACACATGGAAAACCTACGGACATGTGCGAATATCGCTAGGCGAATCAGGAGAGCAAGGAACAGTGCTTGAGGTGGTACCAGAGACTCAACCCTTGGACCCAACGAATGGGACAGTCTATGGGGAATGGATGATGGTACACAAAAGAGTAGGGGAAAATCGATTCGTGGGATGAATGAAAAGGCGTTTCACTGCTTACCATGCACAACAACTTTCACGTACTGCATGAGGCGAAGCTTGATGGTGATGATTTCATGCAGATCGAAGAGTGTAGGGGTTCACGCCAACAGTGGGATAAAGCAGTAGAGAAATGAAAGGGTGGATAAGGATCTCATTCTCATGCGAAGGAGGGGTCAAACAAAAGGTTCCAATCATGCCTTAATGTAGAGTCACGACAGGTGGCAATCAAGTTAAGCAATAAAACCAATTCCCTCTTTCAAAGTGAAAAGGGAAAGATGGAGGAGAGAGTGGTGAAAATAGACGAGATGTGTTTATGCTTAACGCGCTGAAGGTCGGGCTGAACATATTAGGAATGTTTGGGGAACCTATTCCCTTAGGGTCATTAATGAGGATTTTGAGTTACAACTGTAGCAACCTGGGAAGAAAGCTCGCAATTAGAGTTTTGAAGTCATTTTTGCGACTTGCTTCTCAGCAAGTGATCTTCCTTATAGAGACCAAGCAAGCAAAAGAAGAAAACGAGAAGGTGCAGAATGAATTGAGATTTACTGGTGGAGAATGTTGTCCGAAAGACACAGCAGGAGGTCTTAGCATATGGTGGAAGGAGGAAGCAAAGTTGACCCTAATGTACTCTTTTCCTCATTGTCTTGACTTGAAGATAGTAAAGGAATGTGATGTGTTGTGGAGGTTTACGGGTGTCTATGGGTGGTCGAGGGGTAGCATCTCAACGGTAAGGAGCATGACTATGTGGTGAGGATTTCAATGAAATTCGTCGATAGAGAAGAAGAACGAAAGGCGTACTTCAGAGGAGATGGATATGTTGTATTTTAATGAAGACCTCATCGATCAAGGTTTGAAGGACTTGGGTTTTGAAGGTTACCAATTCACTTGGGAGAACATGCAACGAGTGGAAGGATATGTAAAGGAGAGATTGGATAGGTTTTTAGCGTCGAATCAATGTTGGACTTTTTCATCAATGCCCATGTTAAATACTTAGACAAGACGATACATGAACATAGACCATTATCTGTGACACTCGTGGGGAGAAAGACAAGGATCCTATATGGGGTTGGAGCTTTCGCTTTGATCCGTTCTGGGCAGGGCACGCTGACTACTTGAAGGTGCCGACGAAAGCATGGGCTAAGCCATGTGTCTCGAATATTATGAGAAAGATAAATCATTGCAGTGACAAGCTGGATGCATGGAGTATAAAGCACATTCCCTAGTTACCCTTTTCTCTCTCCCTCCCTTTCCACTCCAAATTGGGGAGTAAACTAGAATAGTTAGTGCATTTACCTCCCCCCTCCCGCACCCCTAACACTATTGCAAATACTCATGCTCCCCCTCCCATTTACCCCCTTCCCAAACATGGTATAACTCATCAACCATTTGGGAATGGAATTGAGTGAGGTGGGGAAATAGACAAGCATTTGCTGATACCTTGAAAGAGTGCAGACGACAGTTGGACGTCCATGGAAATTTGGCTCGACACTCGATAGGAGAATAAAAGGCAGCGTTAGGGAAGCCATTTCTCCTATGAAGTTTTCTGTTGGAGTTTTCAGAAAACTCCAAGTACTTGCGAGTAAGGGTGGAATCGGTACGATATCGGTATCACAATACCAAATATAAAAAATCCCAAAGACCGAATTACACCCCTAAATCAATATCAATCTCACTCCATAAATAATTTCGGTATCCTAATCCCAATTCCAATTTCTAAATATTTCGCTATCCCAATCGGTATTAATATCAATGCAGTCAAAAGCGCGATTCTACCTAGAAGCGGAAAAGAGGTAAAATCGTAAAGCGTAGAATCAAAGCGTAAAAGCGTAAGTTTTTTACGCATACTGAAAAATAACTAAAAATCTATTAAGTAGGACACATACTATGTAAAATATGAATGCACTTAATTTAGATAAGTTAATAAATACATGCAATTCATGTCTAAAGCAGAGCAACTTATAACATCTTAATAATAAGTTCGTAAACATAAAATTTAACAATAAGCCACTTTTTCCTCTATGCTAATGAATTCGGGAAGAGCCTAGCTGGTGAATTAGATTACTCTATTGAAATTGAGAATGCATCCAAGTACTTGGTATAGTGCAAAATCAAAATTGAGTTGGATAGGAACTTCTAAGCTGTGAAAGAGTGTATCTTCCGTGAGGTGCTTCTCCCTAGCTGAGAATGCTGGATTTAGTGTGCGGTTCGTTGGTCGGCGTAGTAACAGGGTAGCCTACTTGGTGGCTAGGAAGACCCTTTCTTTGTACCCGATAGCGGGTCGTTCTTTTGATTTTGTAGCCTGGTTACGGCATGTGATGTAATGATCTTTGCTTCAGTATCAATATATGATTATCTTTTGTAAAGAAAAAAAACTGTGAAAGAGTGAGGAATGACCAAAGGTTGTGTGTTATATTTCATTAGTTTTTAAGTTTCGGTAATTCTCGATATTTTTGTATGTACTGATTTCAATACTGAATACCGAATAGCACTCCAAAATGAATTCCAATCACTAAAAAATAAAACGATATTCAATAATGCCAAATAATAATAAATTCAATACAATATTATATATCACAAATACCAGTATCATCTTCGGTTCAATTTTTCACACAAACCCGAATTTGTTAAACTACTTGTATTTTCTCACTTTTAAATTATTTTTACCCCTAATATAAACAATAAATATGTAATTATATGCATCATCAATGATAAAATCAAACTTTTCAACACATAAGCCATAAAACTTTTCAAATATTTAAGTCTAAAAACAACTACAAACATAAAAATCCACCATTTGAAGCTTGCAATTATAGTATTTCGGTTTTTCGGTCAAAAATTCGAAAATTCGGTTCGGTTGAGAGAACCCTGATTTCCGAACTATCCATATTTTCCTTCCGAATTCCGAACAGAACAGCATTAATTCGGTTTCGGTTCGGGTTTACCGAACCCGTTGCCCACGCCTAGTGGGAAGCCAAGGAAGGAGAACGAAACGCAGAGGCAGTTCCACGTTGTGGCACGCTGGGTCCCGCCATTTCTTCCTCCTCCTCTTCTTTCACAACCCCATGCCTACTATCGCCGAAGGACACACAACTTGGCGGGGAGGCCATGGAAGCAACTAGTTCGAATTCCTTCGACTGCCTACGGGGTTTCGCCCCCATTACGAATTACATAAGTATTCTGCGTTCTGCTTCTATTAACCCTTCTTCTTCTTCTATCCATGGCGCTTACCACCAAAGCCCTCTTCAATATTGGCGTTGTAGTGGGTCGAGCGGACATTCTTCAGAAATTCAACAAGCTGAGAGCTTTACCTCTCTTCTCAAGGTACCCGCTGTTTCATTTATGGGTCTCTCTTCTTCGCTTATGGTTCTTCTCTTTCAACTGTGCTCCCTTGCGTGTATCTTGCTGCCAAGTCCCCGATTGGGTTTGTGGGGTTTGTCTTCAAGAATTTAGCCCCAATTCTTCTATTGTGTACAGATCACAAAGTATTCTGAAACTTATCGAGACGAGGGTTCCAAGCAAACGTTTGTCAACTGTGCATCCTTGATTCAAAATCTGCGGAAGGAAGGGATGCCTCATCTCGCCCATGAGGTTTTTCTTGAGATGAAAAGTGAAGGGTTTCTACCCGACAGCTCGACTCTTTGTGCTCTAATGCTCTGTTATGCCGATAATGGTCTCTTCCCTCATGCTCAAGCAATATGGGATGAGATGTTAAACAGTTCCTTTACGCCCACCATAGATGTAGTTTCCGACTTAATGCTTGCTTATGGGAAGAAGGGATTGTACGAGGAGGTAGCCAAGATTGTCGATCAGCTGAGTTTAAGACATACCGAAATGCTACCAAAGGTATACCCTTTGGCTATTTCTTGCTATGGGCAGGGAGGACAGCTCGAGTTGATGGAAAGCACTGTGAACCAGATGGTTTCAAAGGGCTTTAAACTTGGATCCTCCGTCGCAAATGCCTTCCTTAGATATTACAGCATTCATGGGTCTTTAACCGAAATGGAGGCTGCATACCATCGTGTTAAAAGGTCCAGGGTTCTCATAGAGGAGGAAGGCATCAGGGCAATGTCGTCTGCATACATGAGGCAGAGGAAGTTTTACCAGCTTGGTGAGTTTGTGAGGGATGTCGGTCTTCGTAGGAGAAATGTGGGGAACCTCTTGTGGAACCTTCTGCTGGTATCTTATGCAGCAAATTTCAAGATGAAGAGCTTGCAGAGGGAATTTGTCAGCATGCTGGATTCCGGGTTTCATCCCGATCTCACGACATTCAACATCCGAGCTATGGCGTTTTCGAAGATGTCACTGTTGTGGGATCTTCATCTGAGTCTTGAACATATGAGACACTGTAAAGTCGATCCTGATCTGGTGACTATTGGATGTGTGGTCGACGCTTACTTGGACAAGAGATTGGGCAGGAACTTGGAGTTTGCGTTCAGGAAATCGAATTTGGATGAATCGCCGGTAGTGCTCACCGATCCGTTCCTGTTTGAGGTATTGGGGAAAGGAGACTTCCATGCTAGCTCCGAGGCATTTATGGAGTTCAGGAAGCAGAGGAATTGGAGTTACAAGGATCTTCTAGCAATTTATGTTAGGAAACAACATCGAAGTAACCAGATCTTCTGGAACTACTAACTAGCAGATTGCTGGGAACATGAGAAAGTTGATGTAGAGAAGAGGAAAGCCCATTTTGATGGTAGCAATTACTGGTGAGTCTTTTTGCTGATACACTACTAGTACTACAAGGATACAAGCAGAGGATTCCTTTTTCTACTCCGGTCAATCTCACGATTTATCTTGTGTAATGGTTGTGTTATATGAACAGAGGATGATGCCATGGCGGGGCTTGCCTTATTTAGTGAAGCAATGGATGAATTGGTTGCCTAAGATGATAGTCAAAAACTTAGTAAGGGGCTGGCTCTGTGCTTCGATCGACATTCAGATTATTGGAGAAGCTGCAATCCTTGATTTGACCGTGATGATACCTTTTTTTGCCACTTACCCGTTGCTATTGGTAAACCATGTTCAATCCGTTGGAGGCTAAGAAAGGCAGAGGATTTGCTTGGTGTCAATTCGTATTCACCTTTTTTCGCTTAGGAAACTTTAGGCCCTGTTTACTTTCATTTCTGTTTCCTGTTTTTGAGAAAACAGATGTTGAAAACAGGTGAAAACGACATTTTTTCGTTTTCGAAAACAGTAGGAATTTGCCAATTTCTGTTTTCAGAGTTGGAAACGAATAGAAAACAGAATGAAAAGTAAACATGTTTTCTCGTTTCGTTTCCCAAATTTGTAACATGAAAACAGAAAACAGGAAACGAAAATGGAAGTGAACAGGGCCTTAGTGTTTGATATAGATGAATTGCATTTTAACATTTTAAGGAACGATAATAACATGGTTCACATTTCTTTGAATAATGTTCGAACAAAGATGTTTGATGTTTTTTATGGGAATAAGTTACGTCAAATTATGGAGACTCAGCGAGAACTCTAGAAATTACCTATGGCCTATTTGCAAAGAAATAGTAAATGTTGACATTGGATATAAAGTGTTTGGTTGTGAAGCCTTTTTTCTAGTTTTCTTTCTCCTATTTATAACCACAATAACCACTAGGTGTAACTGTCCTAGTGACCATCAACTGGCCGGTTGCTCCAACTGCCTCGGAGTGCTCATCGTTGTCTTGATGACTAGTTGATAACCGTTGTCTTGATGTTCATTCACATCGTCCTGGGGACCTCTCGTCCCACCTTAGTGACTGGTTGGTGATTGATAGCCTCGATGTCTGGTTGGGTTGATATTGCGTACTGTCTCTTTGTTGTTGTTAACCAATACAACATTATCATTACTTGCGGGAAAAAACTTCTTTTGTGGCATCATTCCATGATATGTACAAAGAATGAAGCATAACAAAAAAATAATAAAGGGGAGGCATATGATAATCAACTCATAATTAACATTTAACATAAATACGCGAAACTAATATAATTTTATTACAATCATTAGAACTAGTCACCTAAAAAACATATATCAATTGTACGAGGGTAATGAATTAGGTATCTATGTGATTGTCTCAATCTATTAACATTTGAAAATGTCATTTTCTAGCGGGTTTTAATTCACCATAATGTATAAATTTTTATATAATTAGGAGTTTGTATATTGTTGTCTATACTCCAGAAGAACAAATATAATATCATAATAATTATGAGCTTTATTTTTTGGTTCCAAAAGGAGGAACACTTCACTCTTGAGTGAGTGTTTATGCAAAGTACTAAGTATTAGACTATTAGATATATTGCTAATTCTCTAGTTAATTAATTGGTTTGATTGGTTAGCAACGTCTGAAACCAAAATACAGAAACCAAATAAGTAAAACATATTAAACCAAACCAAATTATCCAAGCATACTACCAGTTAAATGAGTTACCACGATATCCACTATTTTCAACGCCCTTATCCAAATATGTCTTCTAAGGGGTGGGCAATGAGCGGTTTGGATGTGTTTTGGTCTCAATTCGGCCCACTTGCTTACTAGCGAGCTTGTATATCTGTGACTCGCTAACCACCACATTCTTCAGCAGATTGGGTTGGGTGGGTGGCGGATGGATGGATGATACAGTTTGATTGTGGGTTAACCCGCAAAAGAAATTCACCAACTAGCCATTAAGAAAGTTTACTAACATTTATATTTTATAATATGTTCTTTGTAAATTAGTAAGATTGTACCAAATTAGACACTTCCAACTTTGTCTCATGTGAATCTATTTAGTATTTGCATCAAAATTTTCAATATTCTATCAACCACTTGTGTAGAGAAATTAAGAAAGATTTCACATTTTGCGACTTTGATAAAATTAATAGTTCATAATTTGCATCCAATATCTAATGGATATTATTCAACACAATAACCAATAATAGTTAGTCCGAAAATATTTTTTATTCTCCAGTTTTAGAAGTATATGGTAAGTGTGTAGTACGTTTAGAAAATATGATGAATATCTGATAGCATAAGAAATAACATTTTGTCATGTGAAAATATAGTACATGTTACTCGGGTGAGCCACAATCCACTCACCACCCACCCACATAAGTGTGGATACGAGATTTATCAATTCGTAATCCATCCATATCAATCACCTACTGCTTGCGATTCGAGTTATTTACTCGTGAACTGATATCAACCTGCGGATTAACTACCCCTGCCCACCCCTAAATTTAGTTCCAGCCTTCTAGGGTTGGACTTTGGAGTGTAATTGGCCACCAGGCCGGGCCGGGCCGGGCCGGGCCGCCCAGGGGAAAAAAGAAAATCAATCGAAGAGCAGCATCCTAACGGAAGTCCCGAGAGCCATCACTTCCCGGAACCAGCCAGCGGCCATCTCCAGCACAGGCGACGGCTGAACCGAAACCAGAGACGCAACTGAAGCTAACCCAAAGAAGGAATCAAGCAAAGGTATTGAACAGGGCAAGCAAAGAATGGTCTTTCGATCGATATTTGACGCTCCAGAAATCAGAAGCGAGTTTGAGAAAGCAGGGGTCAGCCTTCAATTCATCCCAGTGATTTGGAAGTACGGGTCCAAAATTTCCTTCATATGCATTTGAGTACAGATTAATGTTCTTTGCCTCTCCTTCGGTTTCGTGAATTGGTGCTAAAAGTTGTCTGTTTCTCTCTGTGGGTGGTTATGATATTCAGGCATGTGGTTAAGAACCCTACCTGTGAATGGGATGATATACCCAGCCTGCCGTCTGCTGCATACTCAGTTCTCCGCTCAAAGTTCAGGCCTTTAACTTCTATTGTTGACTCTGTTATCGATTCAAGTGATGGGGTCACTACCAAACTCCTCATTAAACTTCAGGTACTTCTCTTTCACGTTTTTCTGTTTCGAATTTGACTCGTTTGTTGCCCCTCCGCGGGCATGGCACAGAAAGGAAAATTGCATTGGTTTCAACACTATGGTTCAATTGTCTAGTTGCTATTGTTGGTAGACTAGCCAGCGTAATATCCAGTGCTGCTATATCTCTGATGTACAAACTTCTCTCTCAGAATGGAGCATTTGTCGAGGCAGTTGTTATGAGGTATGATAGTCGTTTGGGGAGGTATGATGGCAAAACTCGTCCCGGTGGCCCAAGGTCAACACTCTGTATTTCTTCTCAGGTTGGTGATTGATAAGTTCAGCTAGCATTTCATTCTCAATATCAAGTTTTGCCTTTTGTTCTTGGTATATGGGTGGAACTAGGTTCTCTTGTGTCTCTCATAACTTTCTGCTTGCCTATGATGAGTCACTTTTATTTCTGTGTTTTCATGTTTTGGCATAGGTTGGTTGTAAAATGGGTTGCAAGTTCTGTGCAACTGGAAGCATGGGATTCAAAAGCAACCTATCCTGTGGAGAAATTGTTGAACAATTAGTTCATGCTTCTCGCTTGTCAGATATACGCAATATTGTCTTCATGGTAACTATTTGTCAACCTGATTCTGACTTTGGATTTTTGTCACGAATCTGCTTTATATTTTCTTCCTCTCTTACAATTTTTGGGTTTACTTGGTTTAAAATCTATTCAAAATCTGCAGGATCTTATTCCTCTTTTCCATCAATAGTTTACACTCCCATGCTCAGTAAATGTGTCTGTATGAATGTATGATCAACTTGATTCTACTGAATGAAAAGCTGACGAAACCCCTTTACCATCTGTTTATTGACAGGGGATGGGTGAACCATTGAACAACTATACCATGTTGGTAGAAGCTGTTCGTGTTATGTTAGCACCTCCATTTCAGATCTCACCAAAGAAAATGACTGTATCCACGGTATGTATGCAGTTGAAAATTACATGATCCAACTCTTACTAATACATGTTAGACATCAAAGTGTGCATATAGAGAATAGAACGCACTTCAAATCAGTAGTGATACCTTTGTTCTCGGCTTGCTCTGCTGGTACTTCAAAAATGAAGTAATGAGTGCAGGAACCATTACATACTAGCATACCTGTTAAAAATTATCTTTTATTTTGTAGGTTGGGATAATCCATGCTATCAACAAGCTGCACAAGGATTTGCCTGGTTTGAACTTGGCAGTATCGCTCCATGCACCTGTTCAGGAAATCCGCTGTCAAATAATGCCAGCAGCTCGTGCTTTTCCATTGGAAAAACTTATGGCATCTTTGCAAGCGTATCAAAAAGAAAGGTGAAAACTAAAATGTTTGGTTTGTGAATTTATTTCTTTTTTCCTCACCATATATCAGTTTCAGCATCTGATTACATTTTGTTCTTTAGTCAGCAGAAAATACTGATCGAGTACATAATGCTTAATGGCGTAAATGACGAAGAGCAGCACGCTCATGAGCTGGCCAAATTGTTGGAGACTTTTGAAGTGGTGAGTGACTTGACTGGTGAATAATAAGGTTCAACCGTGTATGTCAATAATTAAGCAGCATTTTGTATGTGACACGGTTTTTCTGACTGGCCATCCACCAGGTTATAAACTTGATACCTTTCAACCCAATTGGAAGTTCTAGTCAATTCAAAACCAGCAGCGTGGAGAACGTTTTGAAGTTCCAGAAAATCTTGAGAGGCGTCCATGGCATCAGGACAACAGTACGGAAGGAAATGGGTCAGGATATAAGCGGTGCTTGTGGTCAGTTGGTAGTTAATCTGCCTGATAAGAGCAAGGGAGCTGCCAAATTGACTGACATTGAAGATCTCCGATTTTGAGAGTTATTGTGATGGCCTTTTTCATTTGTGTAAGCGTAGTAGCTGAAATTGCTTTGGTTGAACCCAGGGGTTTATCAAAACTCTCTGAATCGCAGAAGCCCCTTATTAGTATAGATAGTGCAGTGATGCACACTTATTTTTTCAGAAAGCCGGTGTCTGAACTGACAGTTGCAGGCGTTATGTATAAGTATAACAGAGTTCAGAATTTTATATTCCCTTAAACAAGCATGAGTATCCTCTGTCTCTAGCTATACACATTAGAATGTCTACGAATTTGAGACAACGGAATGAACAGATGCAGAATGGATGATGAGCAGCTGGCAGGGTGGCTTTAGCTTGAAGGTGTGAACCTGGTGCACCATTTAAGAAGAAGGTGATCAATCTCAGCATCCATTCTGGTTCCAATCCCTCCCCACACCAGCATGTGGGCGAGA